TCTGCTCCTCTGTCAAAGAGTAAAGAATGCTTGAGCAAGCTAAGGAACAAATAAGCAGCACTTTTGTGCATGAAAATGAGCCTCAGCCATTCCAGAGATATTATTTCCTAATTTTGAAAAATAATTAGGGCCAATCTTCTGCTAAAAATTATTATGATCAAATTTTAGGCTGAACTCAGAATGATAGGCACAGAACTCCAGAAACTGAGTGTTTTATGGATATTGATGCAATGCAGACTTGACAGCAAACACTACAATTTCCAGGTGTAAGTTATCCTCAGCTATGAAGATTGAGTGTCAGAACAACCAGGAGTGCTATGATTCCTGTTTTCACACTCCTGCTTCAGTAGAAAGGAATTCACTTCACCATGTCGCTTTTATGTTAGAGAACAAGAAATACCAGGTATTTTTATTTTTTAAACCAGTCAGTGAGAAATCAGAACAGATCACTCAAGACCTGAGAGCATGCTCTGGAAAAATACTCGCAGATAATGTCATTCATGTAATCTGAAGCTAGCAGTACGCTGCAGGATTAGTCTAACATAGAAGACGGATTTATCCAAAGTCAAGTAAGGATAAAATTTAAAAGACAAAGAAAATAATTTAATTTGTCATGCTCTATAGCTGACTGCTTACCATACTCTTAGCATACTGTCCTCTTTCTCCCTCTGTGATTTAACTTCTACATGATCTTAAACACAAGGAACTGGGCTATGAAACAAAAAAATATAATTGGTACAAGTTATTTTTGGAGGCTCAAATGTTTGGCCATATCTTACCAGCATAAAATTCAAGACACGTGACTCAGAAGTCGATCCGATCAACCCATGGCATTAGACTTCAGCGTCATTATCTAAATCATGTTCTCACACAAAAAAAATATACTTATGGGTATTGGACTAAATTTCCTTTTTCTTTGACAAACATGTACTTGTTTTAGAGACTGGAAAATATTACAAAGCAGACTATACATATTGTTTTGTTCCTGTTTTATAAAGTAATATTGAACTGGAAGGAATAAACAAGAAAGCATTAAGCAAGAACATGATCTGGAGATTTGTTTATGAATTTGTTTTCTGAAGGATTAGAGAAACAGCTGTTTGAGGACTTTAAAGGTTTCCTACAACTGTAGGTCTAAATGAATGAAAAGACTAAAAATATATCAACAAAGCACTTGTTTAGTTGACTGAACAAGCAACCCATTGAATTTAAATTATAGTTGCACTGAATCTAGTAGCAATCGTCATTTTAGATTGTTCTTAATTTTCATCTAGTCCAGTAGCATGTCTCAAGTATCAGCAGCCCTTATTAGAGGCCTCAGAAGAAACTACTTGAACTTTGTCTGAGGCTCTATTTCTGCCCTCGATACACACATATATAAAGCTCCTTTCTCCTGTATTAAGAAAGAAGAAAAGACATTCCATCTTAGCCTTCTCTGGACATGAAGTATTTCACCAAGTCCTCTTTCAGTCACCTTAGTTCCACGAAAATCAAAACCAAACAGCCACACCACTACTGAATTCCTTTGACTCCTCCTTAAAAGTTATGCCAAATGCTTGAATAGTCATTGTGTTTTAGAATATTTTCTTGCCACAGTATATTCTCCAAAATGTAGCAATTCACACATTATTGGTACACTGGTATTCCATTATTATGATAGGTTAAAGTTATAGTTGTTTGTACAGTCAACTACTTTCATAACACTCTTAAATCAATAAAGTGTTTTTCAAAATTACCAGGCCTTAAATTAGACCAAATATATTTAAAATACATACCTGACAGGTACTGCTGAACTTTCTGCAATAATTGGAGCAATCTCACATTCTTTTCTAAATAAAAGGTTAGGATGTTATCTCATAAAAAACCAAAAACTTAGAAAAAAGTGTATCTTTTTTACTTAGGTCTTGGGAAAGACAATATCTTTTTGTTCATAGTTGCTTTCTGCCTTATTGATTGAAAAGATTCCCATCCTGAATACTGATAAATAATGCACACAGCTTTGTAAAAAGAATCCTCTCCTTGTTATAGACTATTTCATACTAGTATTTCAGCTTGATTTTGCCACTGTACAGTAAGGGAGCCTTTCAGAGTTATAAAAAGTAGTTTATAAAAATGACACATTATTCATGACTCCAGTCTGATGTGAATTTTGATCTTATGAAATTCAGAGGAAAAATTTTTCAAGGATTTAAAAAGAAAAGAGAAAGCACTTATTCTATTGAAAACTTCTCATTTTCAACAAAGGAAAGTGAGAGTGATGGTCTGGAGCTTCTGCGGCTGACTATAACACCCAGAACAATGTAATGAATTCTGTGAGAGAAGGCATCCAGGTCAGCATGTTTCCAGTCTAAACCCAATTAGATAATTAAAAAAAGGCTCATTTTGAAATCTCATCTATGCTTGTGAAGGAAATTCAAGTTGGTCTACCTCCAAGACACAAATCTAACAAACTGTAAAAAAAAAATAGATGAAAATAATGGACCATTGTGGTATGTTATGTCTAGGATTCACACCCTAGCCAGAATTGATACTGATGTATATCCTCTTTCTTGCAACAAATGCATTAACTACTCACTCTCCCCTTTTCAGTTTATAGGCAATGTTCTTCAAAAGATCTCACAACTTTCATTAGCACACAGGCAAGTTGTAAGACCAGCTTCAAGTACATTCTTCAAATTCCCCTAGTGCCTTTGTTCCACACTCCAATTTTATAGCTGTCCCCATCTTGTTGAAACTGGGCATGTACAGAGCTCCACTCATTGCAATAAGCTGTCAGTATCTTCATCCATTCTTTCACAGCTACCTGTCTGCAGACACCCCAGCACCTTTGCCATGTACATTGCAGAATTGCAAGCAAAAGGCTTTGTGGAACGCAATCCCAGTATTCTCTTCCATTGTTTCTCAGCCTTCTTTTTGTATTTTCTCTCCTTTCTTCTCAGATTTCCTCTTGTCCCCACAGCTACACTCATCACATATTGTCTAAAGCTATAAACAAAGATCAAAGTGTCAAGAAAACACAGTCATGTATAAAACCAATCTTTTATTTTCACATCAAAACAACTTCTATTTTAATTACTTCTTTGGAAAGGTAATGAGTTTAAAAGGTCCTTTGTTTAGGCTCTTAGACAGTCTGAATGTTTTTGCTATTACAGACATTTTTATGGTACACACAACGAGTTTTCTCTCTTAATCTCCTGCCTGAGAAAAGTATGAAAATCTGTTGATAGTACAAAGAATACAGTCTCCACTGTGAGCAACAGCAAGGACTAGAATAGATGCATGGGTGCCTAAAGTTTGGCTTAGTAAGTGCACATTGAAGCCAGGATTGTGGTTAGCTATGACAAGTGCTGAGGCCCACTAAGCTTTAGGTAAAAATTAGGTCTATTTGGAATTCAGCTCACATTACTCAGTTATTTCATTAACCACCCAATTTTGACACACCCATTGTAGGCAATGTATAAAAAGAGGTCTAACCATTTTGGTGAAATGCGGGATGAATTGAGCTAACAAAGTGCAAAATACACGAAAGGCGATTCATAAACATTGGTTAAGTCCTCTCAAAATTCTCCTACCCAGCAAACGTAGATTATAGACTGATGCAATATTGCATTTCAGAAGACATTATACAAATTGATTATGGCTGACAAAATCTCTCTCATAATGATTTTAATATTAATATTAACAATTTACAGTATAAAAATTTGCATGTTACCAGAAGTATTTCTTCAGCTCTTTCATTAAACCAGTCCTGAGTGATGCAGGGCACATGTTGTTGTTGTGTGATTTGGCCTTTGCATCAAACTTCTGTCGAAATTCCCCAGCAAGTCTGCTGGTTTGACATGAGGTACAGAAGCATGTCTGGGTTATATAACTCTGTTGTCTCAAGAACTGTGGAAAAGATAATGTATCTCATGTTTTCAAGAAAGAATATGCCCTTTATAGTACATTCCATCTTTGATATACTGATAGCACACATGGTCATAAAGATTAATTTCTAACTTTAGGACATGCTAATTCCACAAGGATTAGTCAAATCAAAGGTCTCACATTTGCAAGTGAGCTCTCTCAAACGAGCTTTACATCACCTCAGTCCAATACATTGACGTATCATCTACAAGTCAGGTTATAGCACTTCTGAACTCCAGAATTAGATTCAAGTTTCTTGCAAAGCTCTGAAACATGAAATCAAATATTCTCCAGAAATTAAAAAATAAATGTTAAAATAATTGCTCTCATTAATGACAAACATAGTGTCTTTAACTGGAAAAACCTTCAGCAACAACTACTGGCTACACTGTCCATATGTAAGATAGAAGGCAAATACTGTAACGCTTCAGGTCCTGTTAAAAATTTAGTTTATCATAAACTGCTTGTCAGGTGAACCTTGGTTTTGACACACAAAAAAAATCTCCTTTCCCTAAAAAATCCCAAATCTCAGAACACTGCCCAGGTAAAAATTTTCCACTGAGAAAACTAAAAGTATTTTCACTGCAATCAAAATTATCCATGGAAAAAGAAGAAAGATTGCTTTTTAACCACACATACTAGTAACACAGAGAGGAACACCAAGATTAATTCTAAAAGCATACACAGATAACCTAGTTTTTTACTTTTGAACATCTCACCTGCTTCCTTACTACAGCTTCCATGGTATTCAAATACTCATTCTACTATTCCAGACCATCAAGACCATCATGTAGATGCTATGAAGATCTTTCAGTGTGTTCATTTTCTGCCATGATTTTACATTGGAGGCTTTCTGATAAAATGCTTTTCTCTCACCAAGCTAATGCCTTACAAGATAAGTTCTCTAGCATTCCAGCAGGAAAAACTTAATCCTACACTAGTGACACCAAGAAATGCCACCATTTTAAAGTTAACTAAGTTTTGGTTTGTAGCTTTAAGTAATATTTCTCCCACTGGGAAGAGAAGATTCCCAATTTCCTAGCAAAACAAACATAGAAAGGCATAGATTCCCAATTTCCTAGCAAAATAAACATCTTCTAGGCATAGAAAGGTCCAACAAAACAATGCAGTTGTAATTTTTAGGAAAAAACATAGTTCTTAATTGATACATACTCCTAACCATAATATCTGAACCTAAAACAATAAAAGCTCTGTTATTTACTTCAGACAACAAAAAAGCAGCCTCAGAACAGACAATTCATTATTATCATTAATAGGCAATTCTATAATCATTGTTATTATTAATGCTAATACCTGATTTTTTAAACATTGGGAAGCACGCTCACAATTAACTTTCACTATGCTCATTGAACTTCCTTATACATCCAACATGACCTGAGGACAAGACCTCCCCTTACTGTATCTCAGAATATATTATATTACCACAGCATAGGTACATAATATTGTGCAGTATCTATGTAATATACAGGTATATAAGAATGTGTGTTTTATTACACAGTAACACAAAACTTTCTATACTGAGATTTCGGGAATTGAGGTATATAGACATATACATCCAAGTAAATTCTAAGGCTGAGATTTTGCAATAAGATCATCTGATGTAAATTAACACTGTTAATATCTAGTATCTCCCACAGAGTTACTCATAATGATATCTTACCCGAGCTTCAGAATACTAAAGAAGCTCCATTGCCATAGCATATGCAAAATGATAATATGACTCGTATTGTACCTCTCAAGAGTCCATAAGCTGTGGTTCCCTAGCTTCAGTCTTGATTGTCCTGAGATTACTTCCAGTCAAAGATACTGTACAAGCAGAGCTGTGTGACATCTCAAAGTACAAGCCAATGTCAGAAGAGAACTTGTATTTTCAAACAAAGTTTTGACCTCAATAGAAGTAATTTAAACTGGCTTCCTATTAGTTTTAAGTACATAGTTTTTATGAAGGTTGTCATTAATGTTTAAAACATACAACTAGCATATCATACAGTAAAATGAGAGAAAACAGAATGATGTTTTAATGAAAACAAAAAATAGAAGATCTTTATCCAGGCAACCATTTCATGATGTATTTATCTTTTGAAGAACATCATTCCTTCACATCCAAAGTCACAAATATAAAAAAAGAAAATAGGCAACATTTTTCTTCTATTCTCTCTCCTACCCACCACTGTATCCATCCAGTAGACTGCATTACATCACATTATATATTCTGACCACCACCTAGCACCAACCTGCTTCCAGATGCAGTATCATCATTTTGGATTAATTTAACCTATTGTATATTCCATCTCCTCCACCCTCACCCATGTTCAACAGAGATGCTCAGACTTAGAGCCCTCACTTTTGAAGGTCATTTGAGAATCCATGCTTGACCTAGAACAAAGGAGAAGTCTTTCTGACTCATCTGTGCACCTTCGTGGCCAGAGCTGCTCTCCTGCATTCACTGTTCGAGGCTTTAGAGAGAGTGTTTCAAATTTCACATAGGTCTCTTTTGCAAGGTCAGCTTCTTTTGCAGTTTTTGGTTTCACACGAAGTTTTAAAACTTTGTAGAGTAAGAAAAATATCAAAGGTAAAACAACCACACATGCTGCACTGCTGGCCAATATCAGAATAGAAAACTGAGAGCTGCTTTCACCATTTAACCTTTCAGTAGAGAAAATAATGCACTGCTCTTTTGTAGGTGGCACTCCTTTGGGTGAGACACATGCCATATATTGAGTACTAGGTTGCAAACCATCAATTGTGATTTTGTTTTTTTTAGAATCAGTGCTCAGAGGCAACATATCTTTCTCACCATACTTTGAATATAACACAGTCACTGCAGACTTGCTTGTGCCGTTGACAGTTTTCCAAGTTAAGGTTACTCTTTCATCAGTTTCACTGATCACTCTTAGGTTCTTTACAGTAACGTTTTGCTCAGCCATACCTGTTGTGTTCAGTGAAGTCTCCTCATCTTTCTTGTTTATCTCCCCAGTATGCTTTTTGTTTCCATTTGTCACTGCCTTTGAATTTTTCTTCCCATCGAACTCAGGCCTGGATTGCTTCTTGTCAGTAAACCTGATGCTTGTTGATCTTTCTGTACTAACTAGTGTTGTGGTGGTTGGCGTGGTGGTTGGCGTGGTGGTTGGTGTGGTGGCTGGTGTGGTGGCTGGTGTGGTGGGAAGAGGTGTGGTTGTCCTCTCAGGTTCCTGCTTGGATTCCTCTCGAGTGGTATTCTGTCTCTCTGGCTCTTGCTTCCTTCCATACTTCTGTGGTGACACAGTTGTAGTAACTACACCGACCACTGTGACAGTAACAGCAGCTTCTGACATTCCTGCTAAGTTCTTGGCTTTACATCTGTATTCACCTGCATCCTTATAGGAAATCCCTGTTAAGCTTATTATGGACCATCTGACACCCTCTCCAGGTGTTTCTTGAATTACTACAGGAAAAATGCAAAGAACAAAACGTTATAACAGGGAGCTAAATATAAAATAAACATTATTAGACTACTTATTCTCTTATTTCTGCCAGAAGGAATCATACATACTAAACTTTAAAAACAAAACAAAACAAAACAAACTAAAAAAGAAAACCAAACCTCCTCCCCGCAAACTATAGAACTCCCTGGCATACTATATTATTGCAGAAAAGTGCTCAGCTTGAGCCAAAATGGAATTGAATGCCTGGAGGAATTACAATATAATTTGCAGTTCACTAAGAAAAATAAAACCAAATAAAGAGAAATCAAATGCCTTAAAGCTGCTAAGTGACTAGGAAATGCAAGTGTCTCTGACTTCACGTGACACTGAACACACTAGCCATTTAAAACATTTTTGGAAATTACCTTTGTCTTAAGATATTTCAGTACTTTAGACTGTTACCTTCTTCAGACCTACAATTTAAGATAACTGCTAACTACTTGGCATTAGCAAAAAACATTTTTTATATTTAAGTTACTGCATAAATAACTATCATAGCAGCTAGAATGATATCAGGCAATCATAGCCTCTTTTGCATTCAAGATGGGTGTTGCAAATAAATGATAAACTTTTGCAAATAACATAGAAAATATGATTTTGGAAAAATCCTATGTTTACAATGCTGAGTTTTAAGTGGCTCAGTTATGGCCTCACTAGCTTTTTTAGCATGAACATTTTGAACCAAAATGGTGATTCCAGTAATTAATTCTCCTTTCTGCTTTTGAGCTTCTGAGTTAGGGCCCAACTATCCCAACCTCCATTTTCATTTATCCTTCCCCCACTTCATCCGTTTCCCCCCTTCATGCACATTATTCTTCTTATAGACCACATCCAGAATCAGAACAGTCTGTTGGTCCTGTTCAGACAAAGACCTAGACAAAGAATTTCATAACAGCTGTTGCACAGATACAATTGCCAGCTTGATGCAATACCTGGTCCATTGTTACTCATTATAATTATCTCAAAGCATAACACATGCAACCCAACAATTTCAGGCTCTCCCATTTCCTATAAAAGAGCAATTATACCTGTATAGTTCACTGGTATATTGTCTGACCTAATCCACGTAAGATGTGGTGTTGGGTACCCAGTCGCATCGCAGCGTAGCAGAACATTGCTTCCCAGTGGGGAAGTGATTTTTGTCGCCGATGTCATTACAGATGGTTTAAGACATTGCTCTAACTCAGCTCTCTGGAACAAGATTCCTGCCAGGCTCTCAGGTCCACTGCATGAAACCAATGGATCAAGAAGTATAACTGAATTGTCCACAATTTTGGAAAGTTCAATTAGCTTTGAAATGCGACAGTCACAAAACCATGGGTTGTCCTGCAGACCTGAAGAGTGGAAAGAAAAAAAGAAAAAAAAAAGTTGTCAGACAATATATGGATATTGTGATCACAGTATGACACTTGACTATCACCAAGTACAATTAAGGAGAGTCATGAGCCTTTTCTGAATTAACCTCTTCTCTTTCAGTTTGTCTTTTTTGCTCGGCTGATTGGTGGGGGAGTTTTTTGCAGATGTGAGGAAGAATAGCATGAAAGTTTGTTAAGCTGATCTTTTTCTTCAGAGAAGTTTACAGGAGCATAGTAAGGTACTGGCACTACCTTTGCTTGACTTCGTTATTTATCTAGGAAAAAGCACTTTGAAAAAATGTTTTAAGACTGATGATAATTTTTCACCTGTTTATGCCTTCTGGAAAGATAGCTCCTCAGGGCTATTGCATCTTGTCACTCTGATCTTTGTCCTTCTTTGGGTTCTTACCGTTTGATCTTCTCAGACCATCTTTTCAATGCTTGCAAAGAACATGATGATTTAAAGGTTTAGAGCTTACACCAACATCTCTTCCCCTTAAAGACTAAGGAGAAAAATCTTAGGCCAACAAAATTCTTATCTAGCTCTGAACTATGCCAATATTCTTAGAAATCCGGTTTCAATCTAAGACAACCTCTGAAATACATTCAAAAATAGCAGAAGAGTAGAAAATGGGAAGGACCCTGAAAGAAGCTGATGACTACAATACTTTTATGATGGCACACAAGAACGCTACCTCTCTTCTTCTGTTAGAGACTATAAGATTTGCTTCTTGATTCCAAAGTACTTGAATTAGAGGCTTCTCCCTCTTGGTGAGCTTATTATGGTGAAAGAGAACAGACATTTCCGAGGAATAGCAGTCTAAATCCTCAGCTGGTATTGATTACTCCACTATGTTGACCTTCACATAGCAACAGCAGCTTCACCGGGTAAAACACTACACAACATACCACTCATGAGTTCAAATATTTCTGATTTGACTTACACTTTTGAGCATACCTTTTTCATTTTTTGTCAAGTATTAACAATAAAAAGAATTTACAGCCTGAAATCAAGGATGGTATGCAAGAACCCCTTGCTATTGAATTTACTGATTAGTGCAACAGGCAAGTCATATTAATTGAACTAAAATTAAAAGGAAAAAAAAAAAACAAACTGAAACACCCGCTAGTATTGTTCAATGTGTATTTTTAGGAATTATCAAAACAGCTAATGGAAGAATCCTGCTTTTTGTTCTGGAAGAAACCTGTAGATGAAAGAATACAGGAATAATTAACTACTGTTTCCTTTATCACCTGACCAAGATTAGGTTATTATTTTAAGCACAGTGGTAGTGATTGGTTAAAACTGTGGTAAACCCCAATTAATCCCCACTCTTTAAAACAAGACTTGACCTGAAGAGATTCCGTGACTTTAACATCACAATCCAATTTCATACCTTCCAGACATAAGAGATTTCACATCTATTCACTACTTACTGCCTGCTGGAATGGAGAAGAAGAAATCAAGGGAACTGTATCAGCAACTGCTTTTCTTTAAAAAAAAAAGGAAAAGATAATCTCCAAAAAATAAAAATTTTTCCTGTGAACTTCATACATATATTCACAAGGAAAAGGGATACCTTCCAAATGATTTCCATATGTCTAGGCACATCAACGGTTTGTTCTCATAAAAATTCTGCCCAATCAAGTGCATGTACATAACTATTTGTGCTCATCTTTTAAATTAGACAAGCTTTAGTTTGTAGTTAGAGACAATATTTGTGTTTTGGGGTTTGGGTTTTTTTTTCATTCTTACTTGCTTATAAGGGGTCAATTTTCCTTACTATCTTAAAAAAGAAACTATGTGAGCATTTGAAAATTAAATTCTCCTAAATTATAAGAGGGAAGACAAGATCTCCATGAAACAAGGCCTCAACTGCAAGAGTTCCTCTGTAACAAATGCTGCTAAAATGCATGTGAACTCCCAGCATGGCCTGTGTGTGATCTAGAGGACAGAAGCATAGGGCAGCAGTGCTACACGCAGATGGCAGGGCAGGAGCTCTGGGTCCACAGCATTAATCAGCACAGATTTGCAGCATCAGTAGAGCTCCTGTCCCACACAGCAGACAGCAGATTCTCCCTTTACATTGAATGCTACTGAAAATACTTCTTATGTAACCTTTCTGTATTCTATAAGCCTTACCGCAGGAAAGAACGGGGTTTATTATTGTTTCTAACACTACTAGCAGCGCTCAAAGGCCTTTCAAATAGAATCATAGAATTCTTTAGGTTGGAAAAGACCTTTAAGATCATTGAGTCCAACTGTAAACCTAACACTGCCACATCCACCACTAAACCATGTCCCGAAGCACCACATCAATGTCTTTTAAATACCTCCAGGGATGGTGACTCAGCTACTTCCCAAGCAGCCTGTTCCAGTGCTTGATAAGTCTTTCAGTGAAGAAATTTCTCTTTATATAAATACATGGCTTTCATATTGTGTCTCAAAGAAGACCCAAAGTTGTTACACTAAGTAACAGAAATTGACAAAACAGAAGAAATGCTGAAGCAAAGATGGATGGTCCTTAGATTGGATGGTTGTTTAGTCCAGTCTGGGACACAGGTCTGACCACCTCAGATCCTTTTGAAAGCCTGGTTTCAGCTTGAGAAGAAAGTTATAGTTCCAGAAGACTCTGTACTTCTGTGCTTTAATGCAAAGAAAGAGTTATTTCAGGTTGTCACCTTGTCTCCCCCATCCATCATGCTTCCCAGTGGAACTGGTTAAAGAAGCAGGATGTATATAAATATGTATAATATATACAGCTACAGGAGTTCCTTCCTTGCCTCCATGGCTCATCCCTTCTACTTATCTGTGTCTTGCTAACATCTGACAGTATTCACATTATTTTTAGTAAACTTGCACAGCCATTGTAAGTCATCAAGTCATGTGAATTCCCAAAATGAAAAGATGAAAGCACTTTTGAGTTGGAAGCAAGGATAAACCACTGAATTTTATTAAACTTCAGTTAGCTATTGAAGAGAACAGAAACATGAATGTAAACCTAGTTTCCAAACTACAAAGGGCATTCTGAAATTTAACAGCTTGTGTTTACAAGATGGTAAGAGTGAGAAGAAACACATGAAAGAATAAAGAAAAGGTTAAAAAAAAAAAAAAGGAAAAAAAAATGAAGAAACCAGAAATAATGAGAAGCTTTAATAAAGGAATGACATGGAAAATAATTTCCTCAGGAAAATAATTTCCTAAGAAGAGAAGATAAAAATAATGCTAAGTCTCCAATGGCATGTGTATCTAATGAAACGCCAAATCTTTATAAACCCTTGATTCTTTTGTAGAAATATTAAGGCAGCTTGTTGACCTGAGAAAGAAATACTAACCAAGGCAAAACATGCACGGATAAATATGCATTGCAATATACAAAGGCAGTGTATTTTAACATTAAGTATGGATTATACATTGCTCTAAACCCCCTTACTTATTCTGTATTTAGCATATTTTAAATTTACTTTCACACATTTATATATATGTTTGTGTGCATAATGGCAAATATATGTATATGTATGTCTGTGCATGCACGTTTTTGCAGTCTTCTCAGTAAGCAGGGTTTCCCCATGTTGTGTCAATACGAACTTTAGCATTCAAAACAGCTATGAGAGAAATTTCCTTTGTAAATCAGTAACCAGTCTTAGACTACAACTTGTACAATACACTGCTTCTCAGTTGCTGTAAAATTGCAGTATGTGAAATATTCACATTTTGGGCCAATAGAAATATTCAGCACAGCTTGGGCTGACCTACCCAAGGCTCTCTTCCAACTGAAGCTACAAAATTTTTGATCCACGGTTCTAAACAGTAAAACCCACTTCCCATACTTCGCGCCCCAGTGTTTCCTACATATAGTAATTGCCAGGGAGTAGTTTCAGGAAAAGCAGCATCTACCCAATGGCCCAGCATAACAGCTGGAAGCCTGATGGACCTGCAGCATTTCAAATTTTTGGTACCTCTACATGCAACAGAGGCAAGATCTCATCTAACTGCCACTCTATCAAATCCTGGAGTCCTCTGTTCCTCTCAGTGACTCACTAGATGCAATTTTCCATATGGAAAATGCTACTGCCATCATTTATGCCAGAAATTTAAATCTCTGTACAGCAGCCAATGCTGAAACTTAGCTGTGATTTGGATCAAAATATTAAGCTATAGCTCCAGAAGTAACCAAGAGAGGGCTAGATGAACTTACACACCGGTGCCTCGATCTTTTCCACTGTTTAATTGTCAGCTCACTCCACAGCTTTGTCTTGAACTGTTTCAAAGAGAGCTCTCCAAGACAACACCAGATGTGGCTCCAGGGACAGTCTGCACTCCAGGGGTTGCTCCCTGAAAGCCTTATGGATGAGGCCTCACCAAGGATGGCTCTCTCTACCATGTTCTTGACCCCAACAAAATTGCAGCAGGCTTTACACCTCCAAACTATCCTGCATGCCTGTCAAGCCATCAGGCATACAACACACCCTTCCTATTTTATATTACAAAAGCACAATTCTATGGGTTGCAATGCAATTCTCACATTACTTCAGGCAGTTTGAACTGAAGAAAAAACATCCCCACCCACACAATTACTTTTTAAAGTCGCTGCAGCATCCCAGAGAAAACCAAGGGCTAAATCTTAAAAAGTGTGGAACACTCAGTCAGCTTTAAAGAGAGCTGTCCCTAAACTGTGTGGATGAGAGACAGAGCGAGCCACTGGGCCATAGGGCCAGGAATCATTCCCTAACCCTCTTTCATTTAGCATAGTGTCCACACAGAGGAACATCATGCAGTGGGAAGTAATAAAAAATCCAAAACTCCTAAGTACAAAGATTATGAATTGGAATAAGGAGTTGCTGACCTGTCAGTCCCCTGGCAAAAGTAGTCTGTGGCTCCTCCAACAGTCCTTCAAGTAAACATGGGGAACCTGAACTTTCTGTTACATGCAATCTTCTCGATGCTCAGTCAAGCCACTGAAGATAAAATTGCTTCCCATATTGTATTAAAAAAATACATATGCACAAACTTTTGAGTTTGGCACTTTGCTGTTGTTGATCTTGTTAATTAAAGACAAGTGACAATCTTGTTTTGCCAGAACTAGGAGAGAAGCCAGCTCAAGCCATAATTGCTTACTCTAAGAAGAATCTGACTGCTGTTTTCCTGACTAGACAAAAACATAATTTGTTTGCTCTGGGTGCCAGCTTCTAGCAGAGCTCTGGCTGCAGTTACCTTTCCATGTAAGCACACAGGTCAGGCTGAATGCTTCCACACAGAACAGCTGGAGCACATAGGACACTCCTGAGCATCAAATCATGCAATTGTGGGCATCACATTTTAAGAGATACCTTATTCAAAGGAGTTCAAAGGGAATCGGTAACTATGGTAGAAAATGGAAAGAAAAACCAACCAACCAACAAAAAAAACCTCACAATCTATAAGAAACTGGTGAAAGAAATGGTGTGATTAGTTAAGTTGGCAAACAGGGAAGGAACACGTATGAAAGGTTACTACAAGAGATGGTGATTTGTTTTTCTGTATGTCCATCTCATATAGGACAAGAGGTAATCAGCTTATTTTGCAGTAAGGGAGACGGAGCTGATATTAAGTGAAACTTTCTCACTATCCTGATGGATAAGCACTGGGAGAGGTTACCAGAGAAGGCTCTGGAATGGTCTGGCTACAGGTCTTAAGAACAGCACTGATTTAAATCAGTTCATCTGGATCTGCATCCCAGCAGGCTAAAGGCCTTTTCAAATTCCTTCCTGATCACGTACCCCTGTGACTCTCATCTCCACCTCAGAGAAGGAGAGTATCTATGGGATACACTTCTCCCCCAGGCTCCAGCAAGCCTAGTAGGGACAGGAAGGGTGTCAGAGAGGAAGCTGTGCCACAGAGCACATCTCGCTCCTCTTGTTCTAAGCAGACATCTCCAATGGCTGGAGCATTATACAGACATCTCAATTCCTAGGTCATACTTCTAGCCTGATAATTTCTATCAACCATTCATTCTTGAAAAACAACTTCTTTGTAACAGCAACCTAAGGACGAGTCTCCAGCAGTGAGTGTGACTGGCATAACGACAACTTTGCAAGCTCCAGTTATATAGTTAATAAAACTAACAGTGGAGACTAAGAAAGCTTGTCAAAATAACACATGACATAAAGAGCACTGCACTTTCTAAACTCCAGAGGAAGGGAATGTTCTCTTATTCACTACAGAGCTTCTTATATAGCAAGCGCTGTCTGTCCGCATTAGGATATACTCATCAGAAGGCTATGATATCAATGAAAGAAAATTCAGCTAATTGTTCACAGCTTACCTAGGGTAGATTTACTCAACATGACACAATGAAAGTACTACCCAGCATTTTGCATTCTCAGATCCAGGCCCACAGTGACTGCACGGAGTCTCCCCCAGCATGCAACATTAAGAGGAACAAGGTGCTGTTTGAACCCAGTGTAGGTTCCCCTCTGGAGATTCATGTTCAAACCAAGTTGTAGTTTATAAATGAAAATGGTCACATCCCAAGTCTCTAGAGAAACTCAATGGTGGCACCAGAGGGTTTGCCAGGACTAGAGGAGGCTGGAAAAGCACCTGCACCAACAAAGCCCGTGGATGGTTTCCAGGGAGAAGGGGAGAAGAGTGTGTGTAGTTTGGGGTTTTTTTGGATTGGCTTTTTGTTTGTTTCGTTTTGTTTTTAAAAGTGGTGAGGGCTATGTAAGACAAGGAAACCAGATAACCTCTGGGACTCCCACATGAGATCATCAGGAGGATTAGGTCAACACAGTCAGCTCCTACTTTACTGCCTCCTGGAGCCTTCAGGGTGGGGACAGGGAAAGAGGTAAAGAGCTGAATTTACTTTTACAGCTCTTTATTTTTTTTTTTTAATCATGAATAAATGAAGATCCTATTAATGCTGCAAACCTACAGTTACCATGCACGAGGAACTTGTTCAGCCTACTTGCATCTATTAAGTTACTTATAAACAACCTCATCTGAATGCGAGTTTCAAATTGCAGCTTCTGCAGTGAAACAAAGCAGCTGAACAAATGAACACTGAATAGTGGAGGTTTAGTTCAAGAACTGGAAATGTTAGGCAGCACAATGCAGGGCAGGTCTTTACCTGTGGGTATAGAACTACTGCAGTAGAGAGAGCCAGCTGGTTTTCCTCCCTTCCAAACGCTATACTACACTACAAAAACGTCAAAACATGCACTTATACAAAACAGCAACAGAAGAGAACGCCATTGATAAAGCTGTTCCAGCCATGTTCTGAGACTGCAGAAGAGAAAGGGAGTTACCTGAAAGACTAGGAAGTGGAGAGAAAGTGTAAGATAAAGCACAAAGTCAAAGAGAACTGATGTGATGGTAGATACTAGAGATGTGATGCTAGAGAGATGGAATCAAATTCTGAAAACAATCAGTCTGGCCGAACTATTCTGAAATATTTACCTTAAATACTATAAAAAGTACCATGAAGTTGTAGGGATCAGATTCCTATCCTCTCATATTCATCATGTAAATTGGGCAAAATGTCAGGATATTCAGTCAGCTTTGGAGCAACACAAGGTGAACAGGAGTCAATGGGGGGAACAGTGTCCCCCTCTTCTGAACCACCATGTGCAGCACTGTGTCTCAGGAGAGGCTTCATGTAAGCATCAACTCTAGCTACTTGTTTGGCTTGTGAGCCACTGGGAAAAAAAAGCTGGAAATGTATATTCTTTCAGTTGCAACCACATACAGTGATATGGAGATGTCATCAGAACCACAATTTTTGGAAGTCTTGCATTTATACGGATACTGAATACTCCGTATGGCCTGTATTCCTGTGGACTGGAATCTCATCAATTTTACTTCAGTTTTATAACCCTGAGATAACAACATACATGGAGGTCACTATCTTAATTTTATAGTTTTATGTCACCAACAGAAAATAAATAAATAGATAGATAGATACATACATAAATAAATAGATACATACATACATAAATAGCTAGATAAATAGCTAGCTAGATAATCACAGAGCAAACCGGAAGACTGACTTGGTTAAAATCCACTCTACTGAATCCCAGGCTGGTCCCCTACCTGTTCTCACTGGCAACTTAACATTTAAGTACATTTTAATAAGGAAAGAGATGGGCTGTTTAACTTACCCAAAACGACTCTCTGAGTCACCAGACTGTCTGTGTTCTTGGACAGAACAGCTTCTGAGAAGGGGGGCCAAATGTCCATCAGGTCTGAGGGCAAGGTGGTTAGCTTGTTGCTGGATATGTCCAGGTAGGTGAGGTTTCTCAGGTACCGGCCAGCGTCAGCAGAAACACTGGTCACTTTATTGTTGTGTAAATCAAGAGTCCGTAGGTTGGGCATCTCTGCCAGTGATTCCCAAGGGAAAGTTGAGAGCAGATTACCATCCAGCCGTAGCTCATGCAGTTGTTTCAAGTTATAGAAACTGCTGATATCAATGGTGGTTATGCAGTTGTATGTTACCCACAGGTATTTGAGATCTACTAGGTAGTAAAAGGCTTCAGTTGGAATCCTTCGTATGACAGTTTTCTCTACACGAAGTTTCACAGTATCCACAGGAACATTTACAGGGATCTCATGCATGTCAGGATCATTACAGAGCACAGACCTAGCATCCGAAAAAAAAAAAAAAAAAAAAAAAAAAGGAAAAGATATACTGGCATTCCTTTATCAGAAATATGTATTTCAGATTTTAAATGTAAATGCTATTACTTTCTGCAACACTATTAGCAGAATAAAGAATAACAAGAACAGTTCTCTGCATTTAAATATTGTAAAGACAAACATGGAGTTTCTAAAGAGAAAAAGAATACAAAATAACAGCGATACTTTCACATGAAATCTAGATTTGCTTTATTCTAAAGCATGTAAGTACCATCTTCTGTCCATCATTCTACTGACAACTGAAAACCAGAAATCATTGTAGAAAGAATAATACATGCATGTATCTCATGTGGGAACGTCATGCCATCTGTTCTACTGAAATTCAGAATACTGGTTTTCTAATTTTTCCACATGTTGAAGATTCAAATTATTTCCCTATGTCTACCTTTCAGAATAGACTGAAAATCTTAGCATATTTCTCTAAAGGTGAGTTTTCTAGCCCCTTTTCTTGTGTTTATGTAGAAAATAATTGCTTTTCAGAGTTGCTAAGAACTTTCTGCTCCCTTTGATTTCAGTGAAATGGGATTTCTCAGCGTTTTCAAGAATCAGTATGTTTCCATTTCTTTGGGGTACATTTGTTTGCACATATTAGCTTGAAGATTCCCCTCTCCTCAATAAGCCTATCTTTAATTTTCTCCCCCTTTTCTCTGTATTCTTCCTCTATTTTACTTTCTCCTCAGGTAGCTTTACAGAAGATATGTTGTGACAATAAGTAGCAATAACACAGTATCTCCCAAAACTGGCAATACCCAGATTATCAAATTTCAAATTAACTTCCTTATTACCAAAAATAATATGATTTTCCTGCAGATTGAAAAAGAAGAAACTACTGCATATTTTTAAACCAGAATCACCTTACAGTAGACAACTAGCTTGTAGAAATAGAAAGGACACTACAATAGTAGAAAAATCATGGAGCAGAATGAAATTGCCTTCTGCAAAACCTGAAGATTTAGAGTAGCTATTTGCTAAATACAAAGCCATAATCACCATCTGCTCCTGTTCAGACACACTGCTAGACATATAACACCAGTGTAATATATGCCTTTATTTCAACTATGCTAGAACTAATTTGCAATGTATGAGAATGTTGTCTCCAACTGCTCCCACCCTTTTCCTTCAAAATTGTCTTTTAAAACAAATAAGAAAATATATACCTTGTTCCAGTGCCATCACTTCTGCCATGGTAAACGCAAGTGCATTGTGAAGGACAAAACCCACGTACTTCTTCAAAGAAGCTCATTATGAAGTAGAAGTAAATAAACAGATACATGGCTTGCTATCAGCAGAACTGATATGAAAAAATTTGAAAACTTTATTCCTAGGCACTCATGTGCAGTGTGCTACAAATGTGAATGTAGACATCCATTTAGTAACAGCAGATTACATCAGATTAGCCGAGATCTGTAGTTGCTTAACCTTCAAATGTATCCTGAAAGGGATCAGTTAAACCAGCTTCTTTATTCTGTCAGAAGAACGCTCTGTTTTAAACCATATCCAGTGTGTTTACAGATTATTTTGGTATGTATCTTGAAGAGTTAGCATGCAATAAAATATCTCTTTGCTCCTTCTAAGAGGCAATGCATTAGTTACTGTACATAAAGTGTTCCAAGATTCCTGAAGGAAAACTAGTACAGCGTGATAATACTGCATGGCATTTTTTTTAACAGTACAAATTACAAATTAATAGGAAGCCTAGATTCCAGAACTCTTAAAATATCCTGTAAAAAGTTTTTTACCAGAAACCCACATATATTTTAAATAAGTTACCCTCTACAAAGCCAAAGTTCAGATGCATGCATACATAATAAAAGATATTTATTCTAAAATCTGAGGATCATCAAGAGTTCACATACTACCATTCATAAATAGATCTAGACACAGTCAGCTTTTCCATCCAGAATAAACCCATTGCTCACATCACCAGAGGTATTTTTTTGAAAATCACACAGCAGACCTATATAACCATGATATTATCTTAGAAATTATGAGAAATGACCATAAATATTTACCAGGTTTTATGTGCCTCCTAGGTGTCAAGCTTTAGGGTACATTTTGTCTCATTTTCAGGATTTGCTAGTCACAAGCACTAGAAATGTACTACTACTAAAACAAATTAATTTTTACAAATTAATTTGGTTGCGTGAGCCAAAACTTTAAAGAATACATTAAATATCCTGAAATTCCTTCAAAATCTTAAAAGCTGATAATAGGTTCTATATGGTTTGGCTAGATATTTTGATATCTTAACATATTCATAGAAACAGAACTTTGCAAAGCATACCAACATGTACACTTGGTATAGAAATATATTCAAACAGGGAGAATCCAAAATATTTCAAGTCTTTAAAACTTTCAAGGGAAGTTGAGGGAAAGTAATTCATGAAAAGAATTACAGGTGCAAAATCTATGTTGCTGAACCTAAGCACTTCCTGCTTCAGTCTCTCCCTGCTGCTGTGTCACCTTGTCCAACCCTGTAAGTCACAGTGACCACTTCACTAGCCTTTTTTGCTTGAGACAGATATATGGGGCCAATAAACCTCACTCAAAAACTAAAGTCTTAGTGGTTTTTGTCTTCTTGTCTTCTTAACCCATCTAAAAAGATTACTGTGATTAGCAGCCCTGGGCTGGCTGGGGCTGATTATAATTCCAAAAGATTAATCTTCCAAAAGATTAATTGACTTTAACCCAGATTTCACTCCTTTCCATGTAACTTATGCAGACAAATGACATGAGTTCTATGATGTTAGTGCACTTTGAGATGTGCTCATGGGCAAGGCATTGTTTATAGTTATCTCTTCTCTTGTCCGACATTGCACCATTGCCAGGATTGCCCTCCGAAACCTGCAGAGGACAAGAAAAGGAAACCAGAAAGATCATTGACTGAAGAGCCAAATACAAAGAAAAACTGAGTAAGCTGGCCTTAAGTATTATGACAGTTTTCAACTTCAGTAAAACTTAATAAAAAAATAATGTATTTGGAATTCAAAAGGACCCAAGTCTTTTTCAGTTTCACATACAGGAATAACTCAGTTAAATTCAGTGTTTCTTCTACAACAAGGGTCACAGCAGCTTTTGCTTATCCAGGGCAAGGTTCAGACACAACAAAGATGAATATACAGAAAGGGGAAAGAACAAGAACAAAATGTTTTTTCATTGACTCAGCAGGATCAGGTAAGTTCACTTAGACACAGATCACAGGCTCTGCTTCTAGGTTGGTAGTAGCAAAAGGAAGGATGCCTCTTTGCAAAACCCAGACTGCAGTCAAAGACACTGGCTTGGTTAGAGCATTTGATATGCTTGCTCAAACAGAAGAATAGGCTTAGTTAATTTATTTTAACAAAAAGTGTCAATCTATCCTAATCAGTCAGAATATGACACATCCCAAATCATGCAAGGAAACCTACAGAAGTTACATGTCACTAAACCACCACACATTTTGGCCAGAGTCATTCAAACAAGTCTATTGCCGATGGAACCCAAATTCTGTCATGAGTCCCTATGAGAAACCATAAAGGGACTTTCAGAACTGTCTTACAACAGCTTCGTTAATGTGTTCTCAAAAGCCTTTATCAGTTCAGTATGTTATGATGATGATCAAAATTTATTTTAGACTTTCCTGTCCAAAAGGTCATCTTTGTTAAATCAATGGTGGCTTACCCTTTGATCTCTTTGCTAATCAGTTTGTCATATTTTACAGATGATGCTTCTATAGTTAGGTGATATGCTAAAATCATGAAGTAGACTGGTACTAAATTAGAAACACTTACTTTTTGTTTGCAACAACATAAATGCAGGGATTATAGAATGTGGAAGATTTTGCGAATAGAGGAGCTATGATGGCCATGGCAGGAGAAATTTTCTTTGGGTCTCCAAAGGAAGACCATAAGCACACAATAGAATACGGAGACCACGCCACCAAGAACATTGCAATCATCACAACAGACATCTGTAAAACAAGAGGAACAGACATATAACCAGTATTACCTGAAGATGAAGACCTCACAACCTAACCTCAAAACCACATGCACCTATGTGAAAATAGAATCATCCAGAACAAAATAACAACATGTAAACAAGCAGACCTGACAAATTTTGACAGGTTATAATGAAATCTCACTTTGGGGATTTAATGGCATATCACACTGCCATGTATTTTGGCATGCTGTTATTTCATTATGTACAATCTTCCTTCACTGTCAGCACTAATAATTACGTTAAATCTATCTATCCAAAGTTTAAAGAGCCAGAGAGGACTTCACACATAAATTATGACCACCATAACAGGTCACTCTGGGATGCTATTAAAAACAATAAATATGAACAGAGAGAAAAAACTAAGCCAAATGTTTAAGAAGGCTGTTAACACAAATGTTTCATAAGGCTTAACTATGGTACAGTTAAATAAAAGAAAGCAAATGCTCTAGGACACAAAGGCTCAGTCCATATACTTAAGGAACCCAGAAGCACCTGCTTGGTTTAATGAAGCATGATAGTTATGTTCAAGAATCATACTGAGGAGATATCTGAGCAGTCACGTCTCCTCTGCCTGTTTGTCAGAGAGAACAATCTGGGCATGTTGGGGTTCACACTCCAGAACCCACCGTACCACATCTAGAGCTGAAGAGCAACAAGCTACTGGGAGACACGTTTCTGGCTTTTGTCAGGGACATAAATGAGTAATGGAAACTGGAACAGAACTCTGAAATTAATCAAGAGGACAAAACAAATCACCAGAAAACCAAACAAAACCGCAGGGCTCTTTGTATGTACAGGATTCCCTACTGTTGTTTACTTATACCCTTATTCAATCTTTCAGTGATGAGCAAAATGAAGAACAAGAAGCTACTGTGTATGAGCTGTTCTAGAGCATGACCAACAAACAAGCAGTGACTCTCTCCACAGATGATTACTATTTAAACACAGATGTAATACCTATTGATAATAGTGTAAAGAAAGAACCGTTTCATTCAGGAGTTTGTTTGGTGTGTAGAAAGCTTAGTTGTGAAATATCAAGCAGTCCAATTCTAAAAAAGGATAATGCTTAACTCCAAAGCTTCGATCTTTTTTTTTCCTTTTTTTTTTTTTTAAAAAAAAACCCAAACAAACAAACAAACAAAAAACAAAAACAAAACAAAAAAAACTCAGCGTCTTCAACTGCAAAACAGGAAAAATGCATTTTCTTCACAAATGGGATTCTAAATTTATAACTGAATCCTCAGTTTTAAGCATTCTGAAAGTTATTCAGAAGAGCAAAATGCTCAAATTACTATTTTTAGGTAAAATACCATTTTTCATAATTTATCAATAAGAAAGTTTTCCAAGGGATGTTAAGTTTGCATTGATAACTAATTCAAAATCACAGGTACATAGTCTTCTGTCCAATTCTCACTCATATTTTTATCATGCCCCACCACAAATCATATCTTTACACAAAACCAAAGGAACTAGTGAACAACTTCAAGCTTTCTCAAGGACTTTTATACGTTAAAAGAATGTCAATCTTCCACACAGGATATAGCATTTTATGCCATAACTCACATTTGCTAGTGTTTACATAAGGAAGAGATAAGCTCAACGGGCTTAAAAGAACAAGGGATTGGAATCACACAGCTCAGGAGCCTGGAAATGCACTTTCATTTCTAGGCCATGGATTCACATCAGAGTTGACCAATCCATTTCAGACCAGATACACCTGGGAACCTAGGAGAAAGCCTGAGGGCTCTGCAGACACAAATAATAAAAGTCTTCCTAGGACACCTCCAAGGTACATCTCTATGCAATGACAGAGGACAGAAGCAAGGAAAATTCATGTTGTTCCCAGAATTCAAATTACCTATTCATCTGGAAAGAGCATTAGGTCAAAAGTAAAGAATCTAGTGTTCCAAGTCAAGCCAAGAGTTTTCACCGAGGCTGAATTTCATTTAATATTTAGTACAAAAGAAAAAGGGAGAATGTAGGAAATGCTTAAAAGGCCCCTGAGACTTTTAACACAAAAGAACATGCTTAAAACAAAATATGCCCTAATTTACTGTACCTTTGTCACATCTACTTGGTCAGACCAATCTACGTTGATGTTCTCCAGGCAGTTACTGCTGGCATATTGCTTCATTGTCCGGGAAACATTGTAATAACAGTAAAACATGACTGTTAAGGGTACAACAAAATTAACAGCAATTACACTCATTGTGTAGGAAACAAAGGACCTGATAAAACAGAAAAACAAAACACAGTAACTTACAAATAGCCATCCAGGAAAAGTTACTAAAGAATCTCATATTTTGATTTGATTATGAAATTTTAAAACAAGCTTTTAAAGAATTAAGAAAATTTTCTTTAGCTTTAATTTTTCTATTAGCAACTACAATTCTTGCAGTTTTCAAGCATGGCCCAATTCCCATGTTTTTTCTAGACTTCCTCTGTATTATTCCCATTGTTTTAAAATGATTTTTATAAATTAGGCTTCATACTTCAGAATGAAGAAGTTATATAATGGTGAATTAAATAATCTTAGCCTTCAATGAGACAGCAAATTTAAAAGACAGGGTAATGGAGAATCTTACACATCATTTTTCCTCCAATTTACTGTGCATGTTGCTCCAGTTGGATCTGGAGCGTAGCTAGCCCAGCCTACTGTAGGCATGGAAGCCCAAAAGACTGCATTTATCCAAGCTGCAAGGATTAGAGTGGCATAGCTACGAGCAGTCATTCTTCTTCCTGTGACCAAGCACAACAAACACAAATCGTTGTCAACTTTTGCTTCTTTCCAGTGTTGAACTTGAACGACAAGTGGCGTCCAACAAGCACATATCAGGTTAAAAATTATGATCCTTTCAAAGCTCTACACTCCCAAACACTGTAGCATACCTGTTTCATACTGCTGAATTACATCTCAAGCTTTCCAGCCTTTAACGCCACTTAAATATCATCACCCATTCCAACTCAGAGCATACAGACAATACCCAATCCTAACCCCATGCCAAAAAGCTTATTATGCAACAGTGCATTCAAGTACACCTTTGCATGATTGCAGGGGAAGGAATTAACTGCTACCACACAGCTGTAACAGAGAGGAGAGAAAAACATCCAGTACAGTGTTAACACAACACTGGAGGCACACACCGGCTTGACAGAGGTCAAAACCTCCCACAGTTAGAGGCTTTTCATGTGCTTCTGTATGTCTCTGAAGACTGAAAACAGCCATGAAACTACAGCTTATAAACAGATCAACAGCTTAATTGTGAAATTTTCACCTTCACAATCAATAGCATTCATGCCAACTAGATAATTTACTTAACCAAGTACTGTAGGATCATGCCCTAAATTCAAATTATACCCAGCACTGTAATTATGGAGTCATTCATAAGAAAACAATACAATTAGACTCTTATTTCATTGAAGCCCAACACTGAACCATTTTTGACCATAGGTACAGTACCCATCTCAGGCCTGCAGATTGTCAGATAACGGTCAACTGCAACAACAGTGAGCAATCCAATACTCGCCATTCCAAAGAAGATATTTAAGGCAGCGTAGATCTGAAATTAAAAACAAACAAACAAACAAAAAAAAACCCACCAAACATTCTGAGAAATCTTTCAAAGTTACAAGCACAAATTTGTGGACTGAATCAAAGGCACTATGACACATTACATTTAGCCAGTGTTCTCTTCCATAAGAAAGGTACTGAAGGAACCAATTCAGTGCAGGCAACTGGGAGCTGACTCATTTAAAATTAAACATTTCAAAGGCAACATGCTTGTGTGCACATCAAAAATCCTAAAGACAGAAATCTAAAAAACAAACACCATACTTCAATAAGTAAATTTTGAGATCCAGAGATAAAGAGTTTGGAGGTTGGGGGTTCAATTAATGTATTCGATATATGTTAAAGAAATGTTTGATTAATGAAAAAATTTATGGCTTTAGCAAGCGTGAAGTCCTGAATTGTCTTTCTTTGCTCTGTCATATAACTACACTTATTTCACAGATACGGTACACTGATTTTTCAGAATTGGTCCCAATTTTTACATGTGTCAGATCTACTGCACCATGTAACACATGCTGCAATCCCAACATGCTCCAAATGCATCTGTCCTGTCATCCCACAGGCAGCCTGACCAGGAAGGACTGGTACCCCAGAAATACAGAGCCTTGTGCCAGCCCACATACCATCAGCGGTTATAACAGAACCACATGACATTCAGCCACCTCACTTCACAGCATTAATTTGATTTAGGTTGACATGAATTGTGCTTCGAGTGATCTTAACTCCCAAAGCATTGGTAGTGAGATTTCACATCAACTTCAACCCACTACAAGTCAGTCTAGATTCAAAGATGTTAAAAGTGAGGCTTCCTGTCATTGACTGAATTTTGAGCTTGAAATAACTTTGTACTCATGCGAGTGATGTCAGATAGTTATAAATATCCATTATAAAAGAGTTCCAAAATGTATGGTGTTGCTAACATTTTCCTTGAGCCATATTTTCAGCATGTGCCTTCACATTACTACTTATTTCCCTGGGCACTTAAGCCCAACAGTCTTTAAAAAAAGTAGATTTAAATCACAGTACACAGCAAGCAAACAGCACCATCTCTCTGCTATGGAGGTACATTTTCCAGTTAGTTTATTTTTTAAAATAGACAGTTATTAAAACTAGGCTAAATCTTTAATGGAGACCAGTAGACTTGTAGGCTTTCATTTCAGCTATCCTAACAGTCCCACCTAAAAGAACGTGTATTTGTCAAGCAGAACTCATTAAGATCTGTCAAGTTCATCATCAAAACAGTAGCCACATCCAAAGTCTTTTAACTATCAAATAAGTCATCAAATGTGCATGTGCTACTATAACTCTCTTCATTTGGGGATTTCATTTTCTGAGCCTTCTTAAAGCTGTTTTAAAATCTCTAGTTGACAAATATAAGGTTACACTTTAATGTTTTCAGATTGTGAATATAAATTTGAAATGAAATTCACGTGAAATCCTATATTCAGAAATTGCTGACATTACAGAATAACAGCTTCAGGTCTAGAATAAGATTTTGCAGCTCCATCTTATCTCTTAAAATAACTAGTATCGGGTAGAGCTACTACTTATTTCTCAGTTTGCTTTTAAGTGCTCAAACCTTTCTCTCTGACTGAATTGCAATACCTGGCATCCAGTATATCCAAATTTCCAGCTTCCATACAGGTCTGAGGCAGCAGACATGGGGTAACCAATGCCACTAACACCAATGTCAGTAAAAGCCAAGTTGATAATAATTGCGTTGGTTGCTGTCCGAAGCTCTTTGTACTTAACAAAGATGCCTAACACAACAATGTTACTGAAAATGCTTATCACTCCTGTAAAAACAGAAGAAGGGAAACTTTACAAAAGATACACATCAGCCAGAAATATACATGCAGAAGAAAATGCAGCCTATTGTAATATCAAAGTCCTAAACAAGTTTTATTTTCTGTCAAGCACAGTTTTGCAAAGAGGATAGACACCTGAAAAGGAGTGAAAAGCTTTTCCAATTGGGTAACTTTCACTTGGATTCAATAAGGGCCAAAAGTGGAGTGTTTTGCCGAACCTGGGACTTCTGGTGTAATGACAAGCATAGCAGAAATTCAAAAGCATCTAGGACTACAATTCAAATACTCAAGCCACCAGGTACAGTGCTGTGTTCCATGGCAAAAAAGAATGCAAGTTGGTAACTGGCAAAAAAAAAAAAAAAGCAGGGCTTATGATGCACCTGACCTAGCAGAAGGCCCCTGCCACCACCTGAGATCTCCCTTTCTCAGCAGAGAGTCTCCACTGTGCATTCAGACAATAATCCCGTGCAAAAGGATTACAGCAGCTTTGCTACCAGTATCCTAGCCAGACTAACCTCTCTCTCTGCTCATGAGGTTCCAATTCTTTTCAAGCATCAGAGTTGGCTCAGGTTGCTGCAAATGGTATTTTCTAAGCCTTGTCAAGCAGCCTGGATGATCCGCACAGCCTGCCACAGTAGCATTGTTGGCCTGCACCAGAGCTATTTCCTCCATCTGACAAGCTTCTAGGGCTGTGTCATAGCCAGGATAAAAGTCCAGCTCTACACTGAACTTGCTCCTGCCTCACTAACATGTATTTATAAACCTCTTTGGTCTGTTTTGACTCAAACTGTGAAGTCTATTATTAGGCAACACAAGAACTGGCTGGGAGACAAAGAGTTGTAATAAAGAAATGCAGTATTAAAGCTAAAATGTACATTCTCTCGTCACATCCAATCCCTCTGAAATCTGCTTTGGACTTAATGTTCTTCAAGGCGCCCAAGACACTCTTTGGGATCCTGTGCATTGGCAAGTTTTTACTGATGCTGGTGACCTATATTAAAACATCCAGATCCTCCTTTTCTCCTGCTATTCCTTTTTCTTAGCCAAATCCTACTGCATGGTTTGTGGACTGAGTTCATGTGGCACCCCCACAAAGCAGGGAGTTTTTCTGTTGTAGGTTCATTCTCTTCAGACTCTAGCCTGCTGCAGAGACATTAAGAGCAAACTCCTATCCCCTAAACTTTTACTAACCCACTATTCATATAAAATACTAATAAACAGCTAATAAGCTTAAAAATTCCCATTTGCACCTCAGCAGAGAAAGACTCACAGCCCTTACCAATGAAATGGAGAATTCCAACATGTTCAAGCAAACATGGCCATTTAAAAAATGGCTTGTAAATAATAACAGGAATTTGTAAGTTGTTCATAGATTCCCTGGCCTGGCCAAATCCTAAATTTACAAACATTTGTATAGCCTAGGCATCTTAAATTACAAGTGCATAGTGGAATGTTATTTTGGTAGAAGTCTAACAACGCGTCCATGGAAATGCCCCTCAGAATTATTTTTTTTTAATATTTAAAAAGTTTCACCTATTAATCAAAACACTACAGTTTGCATCCTCACAGATCCGAAGCATAAGTCCCGTGGCATTCAACCACCTTCACTGATGGGATTTCTGCTCCTCTGTTGGCTCCATCAAAAATCTCACACACAGCTTAGCTTTTGCTGACATGCCTCCGCGGAAAGGGAAACACAGTTTCTAAGTATCATACAATGTTCTTCCACCTCTGTCACTGTCAATGCCACGGCACAGAGTTAAAAATTTCTGACATCAGTTTATAGTCAGACTACAAATGCACTGCAGTTCAAACAATAACCTTAAATCAGCAGTATTAGAAAACCTGAGAGCAAAAATCAGTTTCAAGCACTTCAGCTCCACAGTTTAATTTTGAAGACTTCAACTGATATCGATATGGAAATTCCTTCATATCATGGAAAGTCCCATGGACTCTATCACTGGCAGTCTACAGGAACACAACGCATAGATTTGTAAATGCCAGGACACACCCCAGAACATCAAACTGAAGCAGACATTTCTAGAGTCAAGCACACATCAGAAGTACCATCTGAACCTCTATGCTCAGCAAGAGCTATGTTGATACCATGACAGATATGAAAAAGGGCCAAAAGAAATCCAGTGAAATCATAAGAACATACATAAAAACATAACAACGATGGTACTTTGGATAACAGGCATTAGGAACACCACCCATTCTTCAGCTTTTAAACAGAGTTCCTCCATTTCAATTACGTAAATTGGCACCTTTTCTACTATAACTGAAACTCACATAAGGAGTTTCATAGAATCATGGAATGGTTTGGGTTGAAAGGGATTTTAAAGATTATCCAACCCCCCTGCCCCAGGCAGGGACACCTTCCTCCAGCCCAAGGGGCTCCCAGCCCCGTCCAACCTGGCCTTGAACCCTTCCAGGGAGGGGGCAGCCACAGCTGCTCTGGGCACCCTGGGCCAGCGCCTCACCCTCCGCACAGGGAAGAATTTCTTCCTTATGTCTAGTCTAAATCTATCCTCTTTCAGTTTAAAACAGTTACCCCTTGTCCTATCCCTACACCCCCTGATCAAGAGTCCCTCCCCACCTTTCCTGTAGCTCCCTTTAAGCTCTGGGAGGCTGCTCAAAGGTCTCCATAGAGCCTTCTCCAGGCGGAACCCCACCAACTCTCTCAGCCTGGCCTCCCAGGGGAGCTGCTCCAGCCCCCTGAGCATCTTCGTGGCCTCCTCTGGAACCCCTCAAGCAGGTCCATGTCCTTCTTACTTTGGGGACCCCAGAGCTGGACACAGCACTGCAGGTGGGGTCTCACCAGAGCAGAGAAGAGGGGGAGAATCCTCTCCTTCAACCTGCTGGCCACGTTTCTCTTGATGCAGCCCAGGATGTATATGGCTTTCTGGGCTGCAAGTGCACATTGCTGGCTCATAGTCAGTTTTCCCCTAAAATGAACAAAAGCAGGGAGCTGGGGATGTGATCTGAAAACAATACCATAGTAAAAGCACTTGCAGTTCCAGTTCTGTCAGGTCTCCTGTTGACAAGTAGTATGTCATCTCTTGGGAAAGAGGAAGCAAAATAGAATTACAAGTTTATAAAACAATACAGGCTTCTTATAAGGCATGCTTTAACAGATATTACAGCTACCAAGAATGAAATCAGAAATCCAACAGGACTGTAAACTCATATCCTCAGGGTGAAGGAAGGAGCCGGCTAGACACACTTAAATCTAGTGCTTCAAAGCCCAATCTTAAAATTAAAGGGGGGAGGGGGGAGGAAAACCAAACCAAACCAGGGAATAGAAAGTGGAAATTGCTAAGCCTATATACATTCATTAAAAATTTTAGCACCTTGAACAAAGTGAGAAAAAACATGTAGGTTCAAGAAATGCTCTCTTCCCCGTTTCTTAGGATCAGGTCAAGTAGAAGAACAAAGTTTCTCCAGGCAGCAGTTAAGCAGAGCCCATTAGAAGAGCAACAAAGCTGGTAAAGGGTCTAGAGCACAAGTCCTGTGAGGAGTGGCTGAGGGAACTAGGGTTGTTTAGTCTGGAGAAAAGGAGGCTGAGGGGAGACCTTATTGCTCTCTACAACTGCCTGAGAGGAGATTGTAGCAAGGTGGGGATTGATCTCTTCTCCCAAGTAACAAGTGATAGGAAATGGCTTCAACTTGCACTAGGGGAGGTTTAGAATATTAGGAAAAATTTCTTCACTGAAAGGGTTATCAAGCACTGGAACAGGCTGCCAGGGAAGTGGCTGAGTTGCCAACCCTGGAGGTATTTAAAAGACGAGTAGATGAGGCACCTAGGGACATGGTTTAGTGGTGGACTTAGCAGTGCTAGATCAACAGCTGGACTCAATCTTAAAGGTCTTTTCCAAACTAAACGGTTCTATGAGTCTATGATTTCTTAGAGGGCAGTGAGCGCAGACCAAGCCCAAGACTTTCAGTAACCTGAAATCATCAGCTGAGACAAACTCATATGATTCAGAAAAAGCGCATGGATGCTGCCACTTGGCCTGTGAAACATCTTAGGGTTAAACAACTATTCCCATATTTCTTTAATTAAACCTTGCAGTTTTGTGAAGATGAAAGCCTTATGACCTGATCAAGAGCCAAATTTCTTAATTTTCCTTCTTTCCAGCGAAGCAACATAATCCAAAGGCAGACCAAATGCAAATACAAGTCCTAACAGAGTCAAGCAAGACACATGGGTAGTAGCATCAAAGCAATGAAGGTTATGTCCATGTATAACACAGAATTTACTTTTCCAGTTAGCATTTTAAAATGATACCACAGCATTTCATCATTATAAGCTGAAGGACACCCATGAGGCAGTATTGCTTCCTGCAGCCTGAGTATCCCTGTTGTCATCACTAAAATCAACACTGACCACTGTAGAGTGCAATATTTAACAATTACTTCTGTCTCAGAAAATAAAGTAATTATTTGCAAAACAGAAGGAAGCATCCAAACCTTTTAAAAAAGCAGCATAATGATGAACCCTGTACCTCTATTTCATTCTTAGACATCTGCTTATTAGCACAGCTAAAATTTTCCAGATGTGAGATTTGCTGTGGTAAGGCATTTGCAAAGCAATCAATCATCTTTTCAAAGATGTCAGAGACCTTACTGAAAAAAAACATTCCTCATTAAGAAAGTAAAGTCCAAGCTACAGGTGAAAGATTTACTAGACTCCCCAAATTATAAGAAAAAACAAAACAAAACAAAACCGCAAGCAAACCACAAAGTAATTTTTTTTTTTTTTAAAGACATTTAATTTCCATGCACAATTAAGATAGAGGAGCTGGGTTGATTCTGGCTAATCCCATTGATCACCTACAATAGCTTTGATTTCTAACACCAGGTGGTCAAACTATCTGATAAGACCACCTTGTTGCATACAACATAATCAATTTGAATTAAAATGTAACAAGTGTCATATACATTTGCAACACCTAACAGATCCAGTTACCTGGAAATAGTGTGGTAGTGATACAGAACTATCCAGCCTTCCAACACTTAACCATCATCCATTTCTACAGCTTCTTACCAAGTCTACTGATCTGTGTAGCTGTCCTACCAATTTCTATAAAAACCTGAAAAAATTAATGGACTGTATTCAAAATATCCTCTTTACAGAACAGCAATTTGATACTCACCACCTCAAGCAGATATGCTAAGTGAAATGAGACTATCAGCAATACTATTTCATACAAACCTAAAGTACATTAATATTCTAAAGTATTTTAAAAGCTAATTATAACATAGACAATGTGATGTAAGGTACAGTCTATGACTAGAGTATTTATAAACTGATTTAATTTTCCATAATAAAGGTATAGAAGGACTATTTTTAAACACAGTAGGTTTCAGTTTTTGGTCAGGTTGATACTTCATTGCTATAGCACTCAAAGCTTCAGAAAACAATTACTGAGGCAAATGTGGTTATAACAATGAGAAAGTATTCAAGGGGAGAAAAAAATAATTCCATAATCATTCAGGTTTAGCCAAAGGCCACTGCAGTCACAGGGAATGAACACCATGTCAAGCCTTTCAGCATGTTTTTTCTAACATGTGTCATCAGTAAAAAATACAGCTGCAACTGGACTCTGCTCTTCTCTGATTAATGACCAGCTCCCTCCCTCAAAGTCACATTCCAACCCTTCCCCTTACATCCCCTTAACAGACACCCGCTCAAATGCTCAGACTACACATATATTACTACGAACATGTGGCCCAAGAGAAATCTCAAGATAGCTTCCAGCACATCGCAGAAAAATGCAAGATGTGACAGCTATGCCCTATTTTTATGTCTTTTGCAAGCTGGCAGAAATTAATTCTCACTCTCTTCTATAATTACATATCAACAAAATATATTTTTCAAGACACAACGCTGCTTTCAAATATAGAGCAGAAAACTTAGATGTTTCTGCATGCTTCAGTCAGCCTCCTGATTACTAACTTGTCAGTTAACTATGAAGAAAAGCCATCAGACATTTGTGTAATACAAAATGAAATACCATCGCTGTTACTATACAAAATGAGTATTCAGATCTACAGTTCTATTTTTAAAAGTTACACAACAATTTGCCAGTGCCCATACCTGCTGTTATTAAGTAAGCTGCAACTATGTTGTGCTCAGTCTGCGTAAAGGCTGAATGAGCTTCATTGTCACTTTCTGAAGAATTGGATGAATCATTCCAATGCATTTTGGACAAGAAACTGGCGTCTAACCTCTGCAATAATTCAAGATCACGAAACACTATAAACCCCTGTTAGGCAAAATCTTTCATTATTCAACAGATTCACTGAAAAATTAAGGGGGGTAGGGGGAAGTTCCCTCCATCATTGACAGCCTCCAAGCATGATTTAATTGGACTAAAGGGCAAAGAAGTTTACACTCCAAATCTATGCAGGAGTTCATTAATTAAAACAAAGGGCAGCACAGAACTGAGTACATTTCCAACAGTGTGCTTAAACTTCATTCTTACTGCTAAAGAGATTAATTGTCACATGCCCCCAAACCTTTTCCTTCAAACCTCTTGTGCAACGCTTTGGAAACCTCAACAAAAGTTGGCTCAGGTCAGTTGGTCATCAGCTTGGCTTGCAATTAATCCCCATCATCACAGCGAATACAAAAACTGCAGCACAACATAGAGGCACAAACATCAATTTCTTTAAAGAGCAGGATATGCTTCCTCTAAAGTCCATCCCTTCATATCTTTAAAAACCTAACTTCATCAAGATTCTTAGTTTGATTTAAACTCTCAAGCTGACACAGACACAAGAACACAGTCCAGAAAACTCAATCGCAACATTTCAAAACCAGCCTGGTCTTCAGAAAATGGTTGTTGAATATGCCTCATAAGTCTGAACGCCCTTCCTCTCCTAAACACACACACGTAAGCGTATTTCGGGCACATTTTCCAAAGCATGTTAGTAGGCAGAAAATTATTAGGCATTTTCCAGAGCCCTGAGCAGCAGCTCATGTTTTCTTCTTTTCAGTGATGAGGTAGCAGCACACTGAAGTAGAGACCTTTTACAAAATCCTGCATAAATATCAGCTGGAATAAACTCTTGCCCAAAGAGCTCATACGTAGCATCAGTATACACAATCAAAGAAGGTGTTTCCCACCAGTTCCCCTTCATACAGTTTTTGCCCCCAGTTTTGTACTCATACTGGATATAAAGGTGAGGATGAGCAACCAATGGTTCCTCAGTTGTATGTTGTTCACAGACAGCTCAAGCAGGCTCCCAGGCTAGGGGGGCTGTGTCTTCTGAGAAGCAGAAAGGGTGCAGTACACAGGCAGTATTGAGGAATATAGCCATCCCATAAGAAAGGAAGCATACCTGAAGAGCCCCCCCTTCTCTAACCCATGAGCATTCCCTCCCACTCCTCAGCTTTCCAAAACAGACATCCTGCATCACTCAGCCATCTGAATCTAAAGGTAAGAAAATTTCAATATAAAACTTGTGCAGTCACAACATTTAGTCATCGTTACTACAGATGATCACGTGTCACAGTTCTACCAGCACACATTCTCTTTAATGCCAGAGATCTACATTCACTCGTACAGTTCTCAGGGTACTTGTATTATTATGGTATTTTTTCTGTCAGAAGAGGATTAGGCAGGAACAGGGTGGGAGGGTTCTGAAAGGAAAGATGATCTGTTTGGCAATGAAGCAACTTCCCTAGTGCCCCATAGTCCTGCCCTGAAAGATAAAAGCACAGTGATAATTTGATATCTTTGCTTTCCTCCCCTGAAACTTTGGCAAGGTTTTCAAAAGCATCTCAGATCTTGCAGCTTCCACAGAAGTCAGAGCTTGCAATGCTGAATGTCTCAGAAAAGCAATGCATTGCTATTTTTATTCAGATAGGATTCCAGACTTAGATTAGCAGTTAATGAGACGATAGAGATTTTATACAAACTTGTTGGTTGAAATGCAAATTTCTAATACGTGCAGTCCATCCTATGTACCATCACATGGTCTCTGTCTCTTCTTCTCTTTAATTTGGCTAATTTTGCAGCAACAGGAATTGAGAGAAAAAAAAGTGAAAATTAAATGCAGACATTACTTATCATTAACCTAAAAGTAATTTTTTCTAGAACACTGCAGTTCATAAAACAAAGCCAAAAAGATAAAGCAAGGAATTAAAGCATATAAAGAATCCAGAGTTGGAACCACAGTTCCTAAACCAGATAAAATATGGCTTACCACATTGCTTGTTAATACTGGCATAAGAAAAAAAAATATATCCAAAACCTCAGGCTGTTTTTATCCTTCAATAATAGATACTATTACTAGTATCAGAGGGGTACTTTATACCCTCAAGCAATGCTTTTCCTTCCCACTTGTCTCAGATCAGTAGCAACAAAATGCAATTTCTATTTAAGTCTATTCTTCAGTTTATAGGTATCTGTATAGATATGGGGCAATGCAAAATCCATTACAGGGTTTAGCAAGTTGCTTTCAGTTATGTGTAAAGTATATTTCAATTCACAAGTGATGAGAGTAGAAAAACTTAGTCTGCATTAAAACCAAAACAAAACCCCACACTTTTCCTATTTTCAGTAGTAACCACACTAAAAAAAAAACTCTCCCACGTTTATTAAGCACATCTCCACCAGAGGGCTCTATGAGGCAGAACTTCCCTTTAATCTTTCCACAAACATGCAAATGGTCCAAACCCAATGGAAAAGTAATTAATAAATTGCTTCTTTTCCTCCCTCACATAGACTGTCACTAAACTGTTGATGAGAGAAGTTTGACTCAGATATTTTCATCTGACTGAAGAAAACATCCTGAACAATGTGAGATTGCAAAGCTTTTTACTTGCCATACGTCATGCAGTAGCTACGCTTTTTTTTAAAGAAAACACCATTTCTTGCCAAGACAATGCTTTGCACAACTGCAAATAACTTTGCACCAGTATGTATGTGACGATCAAGCATTGCTTCAGGCAAATGTTCATTACTTCTGTCAGTGCTAGAGAATCCTTTCTGTTCAACGCCTAGTGCTGCCAACATGCATTAAAATATCACCATTTTCCTCACATGATCAAATGTCCCTGTCAAAGTAGCACAACAAATCTATGAAGGATACTGAACCACTCTATCCCAGCAACTACGGAAAACACAAGGAGAAAAAACATCCCTCCAAGAAGGAATGCAGAGGCACTAAAGCTGTTCCCGATGGGTAACAATTTAAGCTTTACATTACACTTCTATGTATTAACCTTCTCTTTAGCAAGGATTTAGATCCCACGTAGAAAAAATACAAAACTAGAATTTTAGCATGGCAAGAACAAAAGGCTCAAGGTATACTCAATATCCTTAAATATTCTGATCCTAGTGATTTACCAGCTTTTTCAAAATCAGCTGAAAGTCAGGCCCTATGTCTGGGTCAAACGTTGCAGCAGCTAACACATCCACTTGCAACCACATTTTGAAAATGGGACTTGGTTGACAAGGGCTCTGCCTCTGCCAACAGTGGGCACATGCAGACACTGACAAGTGGACAAGGAGACAGGTAGGTGACACCACCGCTGCTGTGTCCTGGGTGGGAAGGCAGGCACGGTGGGATGCACTGAAGCCTACCTTCTTCCTGAGCTTCTGAGGAACGCTGCAGGACAGCAAGCCCCTCTGTGCTGCTGGAAGGGCTGGCAGGTGAGTTCTTCAGGTGTCCCAGCCCTTTGCTCCAAAGGTGAGGGGAAATCCAGGGAACGCCAAACTGCCATCGAGAGCCTACACTGCCACTAACACATTTTCCTCGCTCCCCTCACTTCAGACTGCATTGTGACTTTTTTTCTCCAGACACTAGAGCTACTTGAAACTTCCCATTTCTGCCAACACACTTCTGTCAATGTGCTGGTGAGCCCACCTTTCCTATTCTCTGCAGAAAAAGCCTACGATACCTGTAAGCACATCCATAAACCTCTTCACTTACTAGGATCAGCACAGTGACAGAATTACAGATAGGATTTGAATAAAAAGTTCAAGACGGAGAGGAAAGGGTCATATAAAATTAGAGAACCTGTATTTTAGTTCATTTCAGCACTACACTGCAGACAAGACATGTTGTCTTAATTTTTTTAAGACACTGAATTTTCACCTATTGCTTAGCAACTACTTGCGTTAGGAGGGCAGGATCGTGCCATGGCACAAAGATGAGGCAGAACAGGGACTGGATGGTCCTTGCCACAACCAAACACGATCCTTCCCCAGAATGGGGAAGGAGAGAGGGGAAAAAAAAAAAAAAAAAAAAGGCATCACCATGCAGCAGACAAGTCCAGCAGTGTTTCCGCATAAAGCAGCTCATTTCACAAGCAATAACTATGGACATTCTTCCATCGGCATCTGAACATCCTACAACCTCCACAAAGATCTAAGATTATCATTTTCTCTGGATATTTGTGTTAATCGTTATCCAACATCATGTGTAGGGCACGCCATAATGCTCCTTGTGCATTTCTCAACTGGGACTGCAATCCTGTTCCCTTTAATCAAGAGGCCAATCTTCCCTCTAGAGCTGCAATGGATATTGTTCTTTAACCCCTCCACACACAGATGTAAAAGTCTTCACTTTGACCTTGCAACAGCTTCAGGCTGACTCACTGCTCCACCTGCTGTGAGATTCAAAGCACACTTCTTGTCCTGGGCTGCGAGGTGGCACTTTATGCAACTGAAACATCAGCTGCCACATCATGCAATTTAAAGGTGATGGCAGTACAGTCTTCTGGTATCCTGGGAAAAAGTATGTCCCTAAAGCATGCAGTGAGAATAGCAAAGCAGAGCATGAATGTGGGTGCAAGAGTGAGGACTGTGTTATGTTAGTCTTCCAAAACCAGAAAAATAAGGAAATATCTGTCAGCTACCAACAACTGGCTATTGAAGCATTAGTGAATAAAGAACAGCAGAGGATGCAATTACAAACATGACAAAAGTAATGACAATTCCAGCTTCACTGCAGGTTGGTATTGTTCAACTGCAATGTGGTATGCCAGAGATGCAATGACTGGAATAGGATTTTGTCTAGATAAAGGGCAACTCTACAGTGCCTCAAGTCAGAGCCCTAAGTCACTTAGGCCTAGCAATACACAGCAACAAAAATCTAAACACTTTCAGAGGTTTGGATTTAACTGACCTGGTTAAAGTCTGTAGCAATATAAGGAAAATAATCAGTATCCCTCAATTCCTGATTGTGCCACAGTTGAACAGTACACTCAGCGTCTTCTCATAAAAGCAAATCTAGCAGAAATTCCAATGTTTTGTGGTTTGCCTTTTTAAGCTGAATAACATATTTACCTATTACCCTATGCAGTACCTGTTCAGACTTAATTGAATTCTTGAACATTTGTTTTGCCACCCTGTTTCCAGTTTTGTTCCAGAGATTATTCAAATTGACAGTCACATTTGTTAAAATGGCCAGTAACTGTCCAATCCTGGTGCTGGCAAATTACCTGTTTCTTTTTGCTAAACAGAAGACTAATGTAACTCATTTGCCTGTGTCGTGGTTTGGGCCTGGTCGGCAACCAACCACCGCGCAGCTGATTGGCTCAGTTTCCAAACAGAAGTGGAGCTGACTTGGAGCTGGGGGAGCTTTGAGAAGCTTCTCACAGGGGGCCGCCCCTATAGCCCCCTCCCCTGCTACCAAAAAAAACTCCACCACTCACTCAACCCAGAACACCCTGTTACTGCATTCATTAATTAAAAAGTATAATAGTACAATGAATTCTGAAATGTACTTCTCTCCACACTGAACAAGACGTTCAAAATAGTTTCATGTAGCTTATTTTACAGATCCCTTTTCAAAAGTGTTTGTTATGAGAGTTTGTGAACACACTCCTGGCTCCAGATGAAATCCAGGGAGATTCTACTTTTCTACTCTTATTTCCAAAGTTAAAGAGAAGCATCCTGTTCTCCTCCATCCTTGAGACAGTTACTAGCTTTTCAACAACCTTCACACTGCATCCAATTCAAGAGACCAAAGACTCGTGCAGATTTTTTCATCCCTTTTTTAAGAAATACTTAACTGAAAGCACTGTGTGCAGAGGAGCCCTGTGATGGGCTATCTAATCTTAGCCCTAAGCCAGCTCAGAGGACCAGAGGTGCGGTGCCAGGACACCAAAACCTCAAGAGAAAGAGGCTAAAGGGGAGGTGGGGGCAGTTAAAAAACCTTAGCAATTTTAGTATCAGTGAATTAGATACAATTAGGTGACTTACAAATAGTATTAATCTTGTCTTATTCATTAGATAGCAGCTTCTAAGAAGAACATGTCTTAATGACTTTGGCTTTCATTGAGAAAAATCCACAGAGAAATACAGAAAAATCCACAAAAGAACCTTTGCTATCTTCATTTTATACATTATTAGGTACAAAAACATTCCATCAACACAAAATTTTGAAGTTTAGTTTGTAAAAAAAGGTTCACAAAGGTTGTTTAAATGGCATATCCACTTTAGAGCAATCCAGAAGATTCAATACAGAGGATGAGAACGAGGGATCAGTCATACATAGGTAACAGGTTCATACTGACAAAGTGCATGTAGTGAACCCGCAATGTTTTTTGAAAAAACACTTCAATTGATTGTTTACTCCAAGCTCCAACATGAAGTCAAGCACTGACTCTGTCACTTGTCAGAAACAAATGGTTAAAGAGTAACATTGAATCCTGGCTTACTTTAAAAAGTTCAAGTATATTCTGAGCAGTCTTCAGTTCCTCGCCTGGGGCTGCACTCTCCTCATGTATTGAACAACAGTCATTAAATGTAAAAATAACTGTCATTTTACAGCTTCAAGTTTTTTATAAAAATAACTTTTTCAGGGTCCTTTACAAATATTTTTCCTTGTTCTTCACCTCTGCAGATGATATGGTAACAGTGGAGAGATACTCGTGCTTCCATTTTTAATATCCTCTTCCTATTTTAAAGGGAAAGAAAAATACACCAAACAATTCACATCTTAGATGCATTTAAAGCAAATAAATTGTATACATAACACTAAATGAGTTGACAGAATAAGTAATTTATCAACACTGTCTGTTCTCACAGGCCTTTTTGAACACAAAAAAATAGCATGGTCTTACACAAGCATCAAAAAAATGCAGAATCCTGTGCTTTGGTTTAAGCTAGCTACTGTGATGCACAGAAATTTTTGTAGAAAAGTATAAACATCTGTAAGAGATTAAGAACCACAACATTCTGTTTAATATTTAAAACTTTAAGAAATCAAGAGCCATTTTTATTACTGAAATGTAAAAACCACGCACTCACCTCGAAAGCCTCCTCCACCACCTCTTCCTCCTCTGAATCCTCCTCCTCCACCTCTTCCTCCTCCTCTGAATCCTCCTCCTCGTCCTCCACCTCTTCCTCCTCCAAATCCTCCTGAACATAGGAAAGAAATTACACTTTGAGGAGTATATTAATTCCTATACATAACAACTTATTTCATTGACAGCTTCTGAAAGGAAAGCAATGACAAAAAAAAACCCAGAAACTATCAATTGCTGGACAGTTACTAGGCCAATTACTAGTACCTGTTCTCTTCTAGGGACCATCTGCAGCATTTTAGGACTTGTTTAATATCTGATATACAATGTCCAAAATACTAAAAACATTAACAGAACTCCACGATAAACTTCTTTCATGAACAACAACAAAAAAAACCAACAACTATTAATTAATAATTGATTAAAAGAAACAAATCAAAAAACTTCCAAACACTTGTGCCTTGCTGCAAAAGGGCAGGGTAGGGAGAAGAGGCAAGAAACTGTGATGTAAGAAAAAATTAACTTCAGCTTTAATTGAAGAGTACATCACAGATGATGTTTAAAAAGCAAAGAGGGATGAGATCTACCAGATCATTCACCCCTCTCTCAAACACTGCATTTCAAGTAATTTGTCCAAACTAGATTTTTAGAACATACTAAAAATACAGCTTTCACTGACAGTTCTGAGTGTGAATTATTGATAACCTTTTACCACAAGTTTGCTTAATACTCATGCCTTCTATCTTAGTTACAAATGAGTGCACTCCTCCCTGGGCTTTGGAGCCGTTATTTAGCTAGCTACAGAAGCCTATGTCTTGCCATTGGAAAGATATCACTGTCTCTCCCATTGAGTCATCAAACAGAAACATGCATAATATTTTTCTTTTCAATACAGCTGTTGATATTCAAGTACATAACTGCAGCTTTACCCAAAAACACCCACAACCCCCAAAAAAACAAACAACCCACACCAAACAAAAGCCCAGCGTTCTGCTGGTTCCATTCTTGGGATCTTACCTCTACCACCGCCTCTCCCTCCTCCACGTCCACCACCACGTCCTCCTCTACCACCTCCTCTGGGAGCACCTTTTTCTCCAGGTGGTCTTGGCAAAAATCTCTGAAGGGGTAGCAGCTTTGCTGGATCGATGTAAAACTGTACGAAAGAGTTCCATTAGTCTTTGAAAATACCAAGGCTAAAGAGCACATTAATAACTCCCTTTACAAATATCCACAATTTGGTCTTATTCCTTTGTGTCAAATTGTCCTCTGCAAATAGCCAAAGTAATAAAGCACACAAGAAATAAATCACAGTGTTATAAAATTATTAAAGTATAGATGACATTTGTATGAATCTCATTTATTACATCTCTTTTTGCAGGACAGAAAGAAGGAAGAATGTAGCAAATACAAAAGTGAAAAGGAAGAGGAAATGAATACTTATGATGACAAAGGACAACAAGATTTTAAAGTTAATAAAAAAACTTAATAAAGCTCTTATCTCAAGACATAGAGTAGATTTCTCGAACTGATGACATACAGAAGAATTCTGTTATTGAGACTGGCTAACCTTTTGCATCTTTTTAAATGAAGAGGCTTTCATGTTCTCAGACAGCTTCACTGAAAAATACTGTTAGTTTCTTTAAGGAATACAGAAGTAAAACATTAGAAATTGTGATTTTGATTACTAGATTAAAGTCATATTCATAAATTTTCTAAATTAGTATTTTATAGACTAAGCTAAAAATCATCACCAACAATGAAAAATTACAGTTAAAAGATCAGGAGAAACTATTTTCAATTTTTTCTCAGGGTTTTTTCATAGTTACAAATATTGTATTTTGCGGTAAAATAATTTTTTCCTTCCACATATTAAGGCATAAGTAATGACATAACAGTGGAAAGAGTACATAAAAATATAACTGTAAGGAAACAAATCTGTTTAGCAAGTGACAACACCTTTTATCCCCAGGGTGACCTCAAGGATTATTTGGAACAATTCACATGCTGCAGGGGCTCTGCTAGTGCTGCTGCTGCTGCTGGGTGGTACAACTGCCTGGCTGTGGAGAGGGAAGAGCCAGCAGGGACTGCGGGACCAGTCACATGACCAGCTGCATCCTACAGCTCTCCAGTATGCAAGGACTTTGGCATGCAGTTCCCAAGATCAAAAAGAGCTGCTGGCCAATTCTGTGTAATTAAAACTCAAGATTAAATGGGGAAGGAAATAGATAAAAAAATCTAGTAACATATTTTCTTAATATGTTATTGTAGGAAGAAAACAAATTTCTAAAATTCAAATAACTGATAAAAAAATAAATCTGCAAGTTAATATATTCAGAGCCTGAGAGTGATTTAAACCCGGCACATTTTATTTCACATTTAATATGAGAGAGGAAAATGCATGCAGCTAGTTACTGATGCTCAACCAACCAACACAGGCTGTCATGTTACCAGGTCACTTCCCCAGTTGTCCTGCTTCTGTCATGGTTTCTGTCAATCTGGTGTGACAATAGAATGGATCCAGTGCCTCTGTCTCAACAAGCTTGCTTTGCAAGAGGATGTCCTAGCAGAAGCCCACTTTAATTGGCAGTTTAAGTAGTAAGCTGGACGATGAGCAATAGGACATCCTAGCACAACCTCACCTTTATAATTAAGTAATAAGCTGGAGCATGACCAAGGTCCCCTCATGCTCAGAAAACGCCCCCGCTCCCTTGATCCAACTCTGTTATAGGTGAGCAACCTACAGCAGAAAATTTGGTCAGGTAGCTAGGAAATGTAACATCTCGAACCATCATGGATCCAAAAGACATCTGCCAATACTTGTACTGACTGAAATCCTCTGCCAGACATAAAGTACGCTCTGTCATACTGGGAAAGCTTTAAGATAGGCACTTAATGTGAATGAGGCACCGATTGATACCAACAGTTGCAGCTATACTTGTGACTGTTCACATCTAACTGGTAGTCAAGCCTTTAACTATTGCAAAATGCTAGCGAAATTCTATTTAATAATCGATCAGCCTTTAAAAAGCAAACATGGTACATCACACATTTTTTTGAAGGATACAAAATCTCTCAGCTGTCCAAAGATTTCATCCACTTTGCCAATCTGTTCCTTATTATCCAGGTATACCGGGGCATTGAAATAAGGCACTTTGTTTTCTTCTGTTTTACATTTACAAACAATATCATCTTCACACGGATGCATGAACTCTCCCAATACTGAAATAAAGGCCAAACAAGCTGAAGACCTGGAGCAGTGATTCTGAATTAAGTAAACGTAATCTCTTCGTGTAACTTACAAACTACCCTTTCTGGAGGTCCCTGGTCATATCCACCTCTGTTGAATCCTCCTCGTCCACCTCCCCGTCCAAAGCCACCTCGTCCACCACGATTAAAGCCACCTCTGTCACCACCACCTCCTCCACGATTGAAGCCACCTCCTCTTCCTCCTCCACCTCCTCTCCCACGAAAAGACATTCTCTACTACTTCCTAAATTGGGGGGGGGGGGGGGGGGGGGGGGGAAAAAGCGCAGCTGTTTATGTTTAAGGTATTTCACATGTGATTTGCTGTACGAATTAAAGCCTCCTGGCAGCCTTTAACGGTTAACAGTTCTGAAAACACGGTAGGCACACGAAAAAACAAGTTTACACCTAAGATGTCACCCACTGCAACGCTTACCTGTAAAAAGCGACCAGCAGTGACGGCCTGCTTTTCCCTCACACGTACGAGGGGTGACCGTGATGCAACTCCCCAGCCCCGCGACGGAGCGCGAACATACCGTGCGCACACGCGCAGCGCCTTTCCCAGCCGCCTCACAGGGCGCGGGGAGCTTCCAAGGCTCCCGCAGGGCTGAGGGGCGAGAGGGGCGGCAGCACCCGGGCGCTGAGGAACGGCCAACGGCCGCTAACGGCTCCACGTCCCCGCCGCGTGCCCCCACACGCGCCTCGTGCCCGCCCCCCCCCCGCACGTGGCGGCTCCGTCCGCGCCGGCCCGGCCCTCTTACGTCAGCGGCGCGCGCCGCCACCCGGAAACAGCCGCCGGAAACGAAGCTGCCTGCCGTAAAATGAAACGACGACGCCGACCGTCCCCGTCGCGAAAGGAACGCAAAGCAAGACCGAGCCGGGCCGCCCGCCCGAACGGACGAGTGGGCTTCCCCGCGCAAAACGGAAGGGGGAAAAAAAAAAAAAAATCTCCACGCAAGCCGTGTAACACGGGCTTGTCATCCAGCTAAGGGAGGCTGCGCGGGCAGGGGAGGTTCTACGTACCTATAAAAGACACACGCATCCCTTCTATTAAAACACGCTTGTCTTCTCCAGCAGCCTGGCAATGGTGAACGCCTGCAGCCGGGGGAACCGGCGTGACAGTTCAGTCAGCCTCCTCTGGCAAAAGAAAGGAAACGCGTATCCTTAATGAGTGCTTCCTTTTAATCATTTACTTCGCTTTCATTATCTCGTGGTGCACTTACAGTAAAACCAGTTCAATTGAGGCGGGATCCTTTTGGAGCCAACAGGTTTATCAGTTAATAGTTGAGGCTCCTGTACTTTATTTCTAAACACACTTTAAAATATTTTACTAATGGTTAAAAATTAAACACAGATCTAACAATTGACATTCAAAAGAATCCCAGCCAGAGAAATTGATCAACGAAGATAAAATTTCATCATGCAAGTGGTCCCGGTTTTCTTCGTTTTCTTGTCTCTCTTTTGGGTTTGTGGATCAGAGGTAAGAATTTATTTTATTGTGGTAGCAGCAGCTTATTTTTAAAAAAAAAAAAACGTCATGTTAAAAAAGCAGTTTATTGTTATAAGAGCAAAACCAGATGATTTTAAGTTTCCTTTCATAGTACTTGAGTTTCATACATTTGTTTTAGCCCACCTTGAATGTCTAAAGCTTGCTATTTCTCTTTCATGTATTGATTCTATCAGGGGTTTACACTAACAAGCTTCCAGAAAAGGTTTTAATCATGATCCTATCCTAAGCCCAATTTCAAGCATCGTTGACCACAGAAAGGTGCTGCAATTTTCCCGGACCCCCTTTATTTCGAGACATTCAGTCACAGCCTTCTAACATGGCAATGTGGTATGTCATGCTGCCTGGAGGTTTGCTGAATCTCTTCTGGCAGAAGTGTCCCAGAAAGCCCCCATAAGCTGAACATTCAGCATGCCCCAAGTCTTTGAGAGAAACACTTTGATAAAAATCAGCACCTTCTGTACCTATTCAGGAGAAATGCCTAGTACAATATGGGAGTTATGCCAAGCCGGATCAAGCTCACAATTTGGATTCTACTGACCTGAGAACAGCAGGAAGAATTTAGTAAGATTATACAACCGTGAAAAGGGGGTTTGTTGGATTAAATTCCGCCTCAGCAACATCCCCACTGACTTTACTGTGGCCGGGATTTCTTCACAAGAACTTCAAACTTCAGCTTTGTTGATTGAGTTGACCTAGTCAAAGCTGATAAATCACATTTGAGGACTAGCATTTCTCTCCCATTTTTATGCAAAGTCCATCCATATATATTTTTTTCATGTTTCAACATTCTTCCGGCCCATGGATCTTAGTAAGCAAAAGCACTCAGCCAGCAACAACGTCAGGAGCGAGCTGCACAAAGGCAAGCACAGAGTCACTCGCTTAGAGGCAGTCGGACGGAGGGTCAGAATCTGGACTTGCAGTCCAGTGGTGACCAGCAGCCACACTGCAAATCCACTGCTGTGCAAGACACAGGAAAAGAGCTAGTAAAGAAGAGCACTTAATTACCATATTTCTTTAAAGTACTTGTCACTTCAGCAGTCAAATGGTAAAACAAATAATCTTATATTCAGTTGCTTCCAAGTAGTTCATAAATATTTATAGGTTATATTTAAACCCAAAGCCAACCAAGCCAATAAAAAAGTCTCAGAAAAAAAGCAAGTTGCCATTTTTTGTATTTTTCTGGTGTTTAAGTCCCCTTATGTTTTGATTTGCTTACAATCTCATTGCTGTGGTGTGTTATAAACCATTGGATTAAAAAATGTTTGTGATCTGCTGTGCACTTTAGCTGAATTTTGAAGAGTAAAAAGTTTGTGGGAGACCAGTAAGAGTAAAGATCACACCAGGTGAATGATCCAAAACCAAAAAAAGTTCTGAAAAACTGAGAAAGATGAGACGACCAAAGACAAGGCAACAAAAACTATAAATGACATTTAACACCTCTGTGCTCATAAAATAGGAAAAGGATTATGAATGAACACTTCGTTGAGGTCAGTAAAGGGATCTGCAGAACTCTTGGTGCAGCTCCTAGTCTTACTCCCTTTATTTTTTTATTTTGTGCTTTGCAGTATGCAGCATCTAATGCTGAAGAAAACCAGTTTCAGCAGGTTGAGCCTGCCCAGCCAGCTGAGCAAGACACCTACCTGATAGGAGAATGCTTAAGCAAGGAATACACACACAAGTCCTGTGAGAAAGTTTTTTGTCACCCCTGGGAACGATGTGTGGAGGGAAGATGCCTTTGTAAGCTTCCCTACCAGTGCCCAAAGAATGGCACCTCGGTTTGTTCTACCAATGGAAAGTACTTCCATACTTACTGTCACCTAAAGAGCTATGAGTGTCAACGTCCTGAAGCAAAGTTTCTGCACAAAGGAAAATGCAAGTCTGCAGGTATTAACACCTCCTTTTCCAAAATGTATCAGTCAGTCATTTGTGGCCAAGGAGATGCTTACTATTTACAGCTCAGGAGGTCTGTTCATTTCCTTGCACTAGTAAGAACATGAAACAGAAAATGAAAAATCATTGCAAATGGGCAGTATCTACTGATTTTCACAAAACTAAAGTGATTGACAGGCCCAGGTCACCCTGCTGCTGGTAGGTTGCCCAAAATCACCTTGTAGAAAGGGAAGAAACAGGAAAGAGCTCAAAGGTTTCCAAGAAGGGCGTTGACTGTGGTGGGAGGCACAGTGAGAGAGGGCCTGTGGAGAGGGTATCTTCTGGAGAGGGACAGACGTCATGGGAGCAAGGGTCCAAGGAATGGAGTCAAGCTGCTGAGGTGTGTGTGGGAGTGCAGGGGGAGAGGTAAGCCATGTTCACCTCAGTTGTCTTCACACTGTGGATTTCATCCGAACAGAAAGCTATTGCCCTGCAAACCGGTGGCCATTTGTGCACTGACATGCTGCCATTTGTTCCCATCTGTTTTTTAGGCTGCACCAAGCGGCTTTCTCAGCTCAACCTCCATCTGAGTGCAGGGAGAAAGGGCTCCTGCTCACTAGGCAGGGGCCTCTTTGAGCAGTAGCAGTTGCTGTTCCTACCCATCCTCCAGCCCCACCTCCACTGAACGCAGCGGGAGCAGGAAGCCAGCCCCAGACCTCTCCTGCCCAGTCTCTGTCCCAGCAGCATCCCTCCCTTTCTCCACTGAAGCAGCACCTCAGCCCACTGCCCTCAGTGTGGCAAAATTCGATTTGCCTATTTACTGAAAAGGATAGGAGAGCCTCTGTTCACTAAATTAAGCTGAGGACCTTAGCTCCACTGTAAACAGAAGTTTTGCTACACAGGTAATAGAAGCAGGATCTGGACATTTCACCTGAAGCGTTACTGGTTGGTTATCAAAAATCCTCTAATGAAAGTCATACTAAGATGCAACCTTTCCTCGGTAGACCTCCAGGTGCTCTTATGTGGTAGGAACCATTACCCTCATTTGTTCTGAAACTGGTGTATTTTGAAAAAGTGGCAGGCTCAAAGCCACAAGTCAGTCCTCAGAAAAATCAGGAAAAATACCTAAAGCTTCTGATTCCCAGACTACTGTTCTTTCCATATGAACTTATGCTGCCAACACAAAAATAGTCCTCATTTCTTCCTGTGCTGTCTTTCCACTAGGTACATCTATATAATATGATTTTATTTGGGGATTTTTTTATTCTTTTTTTTTTTTTTTTCTTAGAAACATTTTCTGTCTCTCTGGGCAATGGAGATTCAAGTTTGCTTCGAGTAAAACCCTTGAATCAAAATAACTACATTCTTGTATGTGATAGTGAGTGGACTATGAATGAAGCAAATGTGGCTTGCAAGCATCTTGGCTTTAAATCGTAAGTTTGGGGAATTTCTCTCTGGATAACTGCAAGGGATCTGAAAAAGTAGTGATGCTTACATAAGTGTCAGTCACAGCCAGCCAACAGTTAAGACAGAAAACTGATCAACAATGTATTGGCTACAGTATTCTGATAAGGATTCTTAAATTGACACCCGGGAGTGAAAGCCCCCACCTAGATTTCTGTGTTCTGTTACAGATTACAACTATACCAGATGCAACTGTTTTACGTTCAAAATAAATCTGAAGACCCATAAAGAGGTTTTCTCTCCAGTCTGTGAGGGAAAGTACATAGTTGGGACTATGCCCAAGTAGATCTGAGCAATAACCTGTATGCACAGAAAAGTAAGAAACAATAGCTGACAACAGGGCACAGCTCTGTTTTGCTGCTTGCACCAGCCAGAACCAGAATATGTTTATTTTCTTCACCCCTTGCCCCCGCTGTCATTGCTTGCTTTGGCTCCAGGGATGGCTGAAGCCACACAGAGCTTGTTCTTTTTCCTGCAGCCACACCGATGACCTGAGTTGCACATTCAGCTCAACTCTATATCCGGTACATAATAATTTTACGCATATACAACTAATTTAACTTGGGCTGCCCCCCCAGCCCTACCTGAAGACTAAAAATGCTACTGCAGTGCCGTAGATTGTCCCCTCTAGGTGAGAAACAAACATTTCCTAGTCCTGATCAGTATCTCTTTAGATAGCAGAGAAGGATTTGTCCTGGAACAGAGCATTCAGCCCCGAGTCCCACTGTAAACCTCTCTAGTTACTTATTTACTCAATCCATATTTCTTTAAGGTACTGGACACATAATCTGTTAGGAAGATACCGCTCAGGTAAAACCAAAGGAGATAAAATTTATTAATCCTAGCCTTGCAGAGCTTCCTTGATACATACTGGTTTTGATGACATCAAGGATACTCGACCCCATGCAGGATGGCTTCCAAATTATGGCTCACCTGTGTCCACAGAGAGATAGAGATCTGAGCTTAAAAGCTTTGCTATGTAAGGAGACTTTTCTATCCATTATGATACACAGTTACTGTCATAGAGATACATACGGATTTAGGGACAGTTCTATGCAGAAACCTGGAAAAACTGGTGCTTTGTTTTAATTTTCTCAATAATACACATCTACTTACCCCTAGACAATTCCATGGGAAGTCTGCTCTTTTTCTTAGACATGACCAAAATTCCTTAACGCTGAGGAAGTCATATAAATTCTAAATAATAAAAGCAGTGGACAGTCCATTGTGAAATGATAGTATTTGTTATTATTTGTATCTTCACAGAGGTGCTGAATATTACCAAGCCGATTCC